CTCATCCGAAGACATTTTTCCATTTTTTGTACAGACAGAGTGGGAGAGAGAGAGAGGAAGAGAGAGAGAGGGAAACATCGAGTGGCTGCCACCCGCACGACCAACCAGGGCGGGGGACAAACTGCAACCGAGGTACATGCCCTTACCGGGTCTCTCTGGACCGCAGGCGGACGCTCTAACCGCTGAGCCAAACCGGCCAGGGCTACACTGGTGCTTTTAATTCTACCAAACAGGTTCACCAAAGCAGAGTGCCTGAGTACTTTACAAAAAAGTTGTAAATCATGCTTCCTCCAACTATACTAAAATAATGTACTTGTCTCGCCCTGGCTGGTTTGGCTCAGCGGTTAGAGCGTTGGCCTGCGGTCCAGAGAGACCCAGGTTCGATTCCCGCTAAGGGCACGTACCTCAGTTGCAGTTTGTCCCCGGCCGGCCCTGGTTGGTTGTGCGGGTGGCAACCACTCGATGCGTCGCTTTCATGTCGATGTTTCTCTCTCTCTCTCTCTCTTCCTCTCTCTCCCTCCCACTCTATCTGAACAAAAAATGGAAAAATGTCCTCAGGTGAGGATACAAAAAAAAACAAAAACAAAAAACAATGTACTTTTCTCCCCTGTCCCCCCCCCCCCCCCCCCCCCCCCGTCACCATCAGATGTTATCACTTTGGGATATTTTTGCTGCTTCCTATGGCATGTCCCTGCCCACCAGCAAATCTGAGTGCTGACATGCACACTGGCCACCTGCCCGGCGTTTTCATGTGGTCTGGGTTTCCCGGCTTACTCAGAAGGCTTCCTTTAACATCAAAGTAAACAAATAATCTTCTAAATTTTTTTCTTTTGTCTTTTACAATTAAGATTTCTGGAATTTAAATATATGGTATGGGGTAGGAGCCAATTTTCCTTTCTAGAAATTTATAAGATATAGCAGTTTTCCCCATTGTGTTGACATAGAGATCTACAATCCTTTACCTACAAAACTGAAACCCGCAACTTTTCCCCTAAAACTTATCTGGTGGCAAAACATGAGCTGACATTATGTTTTTATACCATCTTTACTTATCCTACTTATACAAGTCACTTGAAGAATTATTGATGGTTCAACTACAAGGAACTTTCCCAGATCCTAATGATCATACCATGTAGCAATTCTGAAATCTAAAATATTAATTCAAAAAGATCTGGCCCCAGAGTTTCAGATAAAGGACCTGTACTGACTTTGACAAATACTAAGTTCCAAAACACACTAGGATCCTTTACTAGACTAACTCTATTCTGGTTCTAGTTTTATTACTGTGTCATTATCACTTTTTTGTTTTTAATTGCAGTGGCCTTGCAGTTAGTTGTATCTGCTAAAGCAAAGCCTTTAACTCAGTACAGTGATACCTCGGTTCTCGAACGCCTTGACTTTCGACCAAATCGGTATTCGACCAGGAGATTCGAGAAACTTTTGTCTCGGAATCCGAACAAATATTTGGAACTCGAACTTCCGAGATGAGCCGAGTTGAGCCGAATGGCGTTCATTCGGCCCAGCGCACCTTGCTTGCGTCATCAGTGTGAGTGCAGAGAAAGAGTCACGCTTTGTGGAGAGAGTCACGCTTTACACTGAATTTAACCCTTAGACATGGGTCCAAAGAAAGCCAGAAGTGGTAATGCAGACAAAGGTAAGCAGAAAGCTGTGAGAACAACTATTGAGCTGAAGAAAGAAATCATTGCCAAATATGAACAGGGCACACGTGTTTCGGATCTGTCTGCTGAGTATGGCGTGCCAAAATCAACCATCTCTACTTTCCTTAAGAATAAAGCTGTTATAAAGGCTGCCAATGTTGCCAAAGGTGTAACGTTGATAACTAAGCAAAGGCCTCAGATAATGGAGGAAATGGAGAAGCTGCTCCTTATTTTCATTAAAGAAAAAGAGTTAGCAGGTGACAGCATCAATGAGGTCGTTATTTGTGAGAAAGCACTACAAATATTCAGTGATCTGAACAAAGAAACACCTGGTACAAGTGGTGAAGGTGCTTTCACGTTTAAAGCCAGCAGAGGTTGGTTTGAGAATTTCAGACATAGAAGTGGCATACATTGCGTCACTAGGCATGGGGAAGCAGCTAGTGCAAACCAGGAGGCTGCTAATAACTTCATTAAAGAATTTAGTGACTATGTCAAGGCAGAAGGATTTGTTCCTGAGCAGGTGTTCAACTGCGATGAGACCGGATTATTCTGGAAAAAAATGCCAGCCAACACCTACATAACCAAAGAGGAGAAAGCGCTACCAGGGCACAAGCCTATGAAAGATAGGCTTACTCTTTTGTTTTGTGCAAATGCAAGTGGTGATTGCAAGGTAAAACCCTTGCTTGTCTACCATTCAGACAATCCCAGGCCATTCAAAAGGCACAATGTAATGAAGAGTAAATTGGCTGTGATGTGGCGGTTTAACACCAAAGCTTGGGTTACCAGACAATTCTTTACAGAGTGGGTGCGTGAAGTTTTTGCACCTCGAGTGAAGGAATACCTGGCAGAAAAAAAATTGCCTTTAAAATGTCTATTAGTGATGGACAATGCTCCTGCTCACCCCCCAGCTTTAGAGGAAGATCTAGTTGATGACTATAGCTTCATCAAAGTAAAATTCTTACCCCCTAATACAACCCCTATTCTGCAACCCATGGAGCAACAGGTCATATCCAATTTCAAGAAATTGTACACAAAGGCCCTCTTCCGGAAGTGCTTTGAAGTGACAAATGACACACAGTTAACTCTGAGGGAATTTTGGAAAGAACACTTCAATATCCTAAATTGTGTAAACTTGATCGACACTGCTTGGAGTAATGTCACTCATCGCACATTGTATGCGGCATGGCGAAAACTATGGCCCGAAAAGGACAGTGAGGGTTTAGAAGCTGAGTCAGCTCCTGTCGTTGATGAAGATGTTGCTGTAGTTGATGATATTGTGGCCATAGGAAAGACCATGGGCCTTGACATTCAACAAGATGACATCAACGAACTTGTGGAAGGTCACGCTGCTGAGTTAACAGCCGAGGAACTGATGCACCTACAACAACAGCAGCAGAAGGATATGGTGGAAGAAATTTCTTCTGAAGAAGAGGAGAGAGTGGAGGATATTTCTAGTGGCCTTATTCATGAAATGTGTGCAAAATGGGCAGAAATCGCAAACTTTGTTGAACAACATCACCCTGATAAAGTGGTAGCAAATAGAGCAGTTAACATTTTTAATGACAATGTTATGTCCACTTTCCGCAAAATTTCTGAAAGGAGAAAAAAACAGCAAACAATTGAAAAATTCTTCCGTAAAGAAATCAGACAAGTAACTGCAGAGAAAGATTCTGATTCTCCTCAGCAAAAGATACAGAGAACAGAAACACCCGAAGAGCAGTTACCCTCTGTTTTTATTGAAGAGGACTCCCCTTCAAGACAATAAAGGTTGGTACAGGTACAGTAAATGAAACACAATTTACTGTACTTTACAGTACATTTTATTTTTTTTAATACATACTGTACACTTTTATTTCTTGTTGAGACTTATGTTTTTCTACATATTATATACAAATTAGGCCAGTAAATAGGCATTTTCTGGGGCTTGGAACGAATTAATCCAGTTTCCATTATTTCCTATTGGTTTCATTGCTTCGGTTCTCGAACAATTCGGTTCTCGACCGTCCTCCTGGAACGAATTATGTTCGAGAACCGAAGCAATGAAACCAATAGGAAAGCGTGACTCCACAAAGCGTGACTCTCTCTCTGCACTCACACTGATGACGCAAGCAAGGCGCGCTGGGCCGAATGAACGCCATTCGGCTCAACTCGGCTCATCTCGGAAGTTCGAGTTCCAAATATTTGTTCAGATTCCGAGACAAAAGTTTCTCGAATCTCCTGGTCGAATACCGATTTGGTCGAAAGTCAAGGCGTTCGAGAACCGAGGTATCACTGTACTACTTTCTGTATAAACTAACCTCTACAAATGAAACTTTGAAATAATTTCAGCCAGTACCCCTCCCTGGACTTTGGAATTGCACTATCTACATTAATGTGGGGAGAACTGGTTTCTGTTGTGTTTTGCTATTAAATTTCCCACCTAAGAACACAGTCTGTTCCACCATGCACTCAGGTCTTGTTTCATGTCTTTGAAGTTTAAGATCCCATAACTTTCTTCAATCTACATTCCTAGTTATTTCATACATTTTGTGGTTATTATGAGTAGACCCCCCCCCCCCATTTACGTTTCTAACTGGTTATTACAAAGTGGAGAAAAACTAGCATTTTTTGTGTTATCTGGCATCTCAACCCAGTTACCAAATTCAATTAATTAACATTTTGTTGGAACCATTCACCTTTTCTGAGAATATACGCATATTTATCTGCATATAAAAAGTTTTCATTCCAGTATTTTACACTGATGTTGCTTATTATTTATTTTAATCCTCACCCTGAGGATATTTTTCCATTGGTTTTTAGAGAAAGTGGAAGAAGGGAGGGAGGGAGAAAGAGAAAAACACTGACTGGTTGCCTCCTGCATGACCCCAAACTGGGGCCAGGGATCAAACCTGCAACTCAAGTACGTGCCCTTGACGAGGAATCAAACCCAAGACCCTAACTTAGGTCCGTGGGCTGATGCTCAACTGCTGAGCCAAACCGGCCAAGGCTCAATTGTATTTTTATACACACTGCAAAGAACAACCTAAACATATAATTAAAAAAAAAAACAATTCCATGGAGAAAAAGGAGAAACATCTGAAACAAAAATAAATTAATAAAATAAATAAAGAAAAAACAATTCCATTTACAATAGTATTAAAAGAACAAAATATTTAGGAATAAAATTAACAAAAAAAGTGCAAAACTTTTATACTCTGAAAACTACAAAACATTGTTAAAAGAAATTAAAGAAGGCCCTGGCTAGTTAGCTCAGTTGGTTAGAACATCACCTTGATACGTGGGTTCCATTCCCGGTCAGGGCACATACAAGAATCAACCGATGAATGCATAAACGTGTGGAACAACAAATCAATGTTTCTCTCTTTTCCTCTCTTTCTTTTTCCCCTTTCTCTCTCTCAAATTAATAAATAAAATAAAAAAATTAAAGATGATCTAAATACAAGGAGGGACATCCTTATTTATAGAACAGAAGACAATACTGTTGAGATAGCAGTATTTCCCAACTTGATATGGAAATTGGACACAATCCTATCACAATACTAGCTGACTTCTTTGTAGACACTGACAAGTTGATCCTAAAACTCAGGAAAACTCAAGGATCACAGAATAACCAAAACAATCTTGACAAAAGAGGAACAAAACTGGAGGATTCACACTTCGCGATTTCAAATCTTACTACAAAGCTACAATGCGGTACAAGCATAAGGATATATAGAACAATAGAGTAGAACTGAAAGTCCAGAAATAAACCCACGTAGCTATGGTCTACTGATTTTTGACAACGGTGCCGTGATCATTCACAATGAGGAAAGAATAGTTTCTTCAACAAATGGTACTGGACAACTGAATCTCCAGCTGGAAAAGAATGAAATTGGACCCTTACCTCACACCATGTACACAAATTAACTTAAATAGATCAAATATTGAAATGATAGGAGCTAAAACTATAAAACTCGTATTAGAAAACGGGTAAATCTTTGTAATCTTGGATTCGGCAATGAATTCCTAAGATACAACACTCCAAGCACAAGCAACAAAAGAAAAAAAATAGGTAAATTGGAGTTCATAAAAATTAAACTTTTATGCTGCAAGACACATCAAGAAGGTGGAAAAACAACCTGCAGAAAGGAGAAAATGTTTGCAAATTCTATATCTGATATAGGACTTGTATCTGAAATATATTAAAAAATTCAAAAGGACCACACAATTAAAAAATGAACAAAGGATCTGAACAAACATTTCCAACTCCAAGGAAGATAGACAAATGACCAACAAATCCTATTAAAAGATGTTCAACATCATTAGTCAGTTATCAGGGAAATGCAAATAAAAAATAAAAAAGATACCACTTCATACTCACTAGACCTGCATGGCTACTATCAAGAAGTTAGATAATAACAAGTGTTGGTGAGAGACATAGATAATTCAGTATCCTCAGACATTGCTGATGGGAATATAAAATGGTATAGCCACTGGGAAACAGTGTGGTAGTTCCTCAAGAAGTTAAAGAATTACTATTTGACCAGACACATACCCCAGAGAAATGAAAACATATGTCCACATAAAAACTTGCACACAAATGTAATAACATTGGCCATTACTTATTATAGCCCAAAAGTGGAAACAAATACCCAAATACCCAAACTGATGAATGAATAAACCAAATGTAGTATATCCATACAAGTGAATATTTTTAGGTCATACAAAGGAATAAAGTTCAGGTACATGATACAATGTGGATGAACCCTGAAAACTTCTGTGAGTGGAAGAAGCCAATCACAGAAGACTACATATTATGTAATTACAATTACATGAGATGTCCAGAATAAGCCAATATACTGAGACAGATATTAGATTAATGGTGGACTAAGGGAAGCATTGGGAGATAGGGGGTAATGGATAAAGGATCTGGGTCTCTATGAGGTGATGAAAATGTTCTATGATTGATTGTGGTGATGGCTGCACAACTGTAAATATATTAAAAACTATTGAATTGTAAGGCATTAAGAAGTACAAATTGATCGTTACAAAATAGTCATGGGGATATAAAGTACAACATAGGAAATTAAAGTCACTAATATTATAATAACTATGTATGGTGCCAGGTGGGTACTGGAAATATCAGGGGAAATGCCTTGTAAAGTATAGGACTGTCTAAAACCACTATGCTGTTCACCTGAAAGTAATACAAAATCATACTGAATGTAAACTATAATTTGAAAAGAAAAAAAAAATTATTGAATTGGCCCTGGCCAGTTTGGCTCAGTAGTTAAGAGTGTCAGCCTGCAGACCAAAGAGTTGCAGGTTCGATTCCGGTCAAGGGCAAGTAACTCAGCTGTGGTTCGATCCGGGCTCTGGTTGGGGTCATGTGGGAGGCAGATGTGTCTCTCATTGATGTTTTTTTCTCCTCTCCACCCTGCCTCCCCCCCCCCCACTCCATCTGAAAATCAATGAAAAAATATCCTTGGGTGAGGATTTTAAAAAGCTATTTCCTGTGCTCCCCTTGACTGCTATCACCTGCTCATAAATCCCTTCGGCCTCCTCCACGGTAATGGCAGCCAAGCCTCTCTCTAACCCAGGCCTGGTCCTCTGAGCTCTCTCCCTACTGCACAGCCCCCTCCAACTCTACCTGATCTCAAACAGCCTCGTCCAACCTGGCATGTCACCCATTCAACCAACTGCCTCTCCCCACCCAAAAAACCCACCTACTCTGGTTTCTGTGCTAAGCACTGAGGATCCACTAAAAAAATTAAGACAGAATTTATTCAGTTTCTTGCCAAATTTTTTCCTTTACCTGTACCATATACTGCCCTCCCCGTCATGACAGGACCACTGTCCACCAGGTACTCAAGCCAGAAATCTGAGACATTCCAGACTCCTGGTCACTCACTCATGCTGACCTTGTTTGCTTTCTTTTTTTTCTTTTTTTTTTATCCTCACCCGAGGATATTTTTCCATTTTTTGTACAGATAGAGTGGGAGGGAGAGAGAGGAAGGGAGAGAGAGAGAGAAACATCGACGTGAAGGGACACATCGAGTGGCTGCCACCCGCACGACCAACCAGGGCCGGGGACAAACTGCAACCGAAGTACGTGCCCTTAGCGGGAACCGAACCCGGGTCTCTCCGGACCGCAGGCCGACGCTCTAACCGCTGAGCCAAACTGGCCAGGGCTTGTTTGCTTTCTTAAACAGTTCTTCTATCCCACCCTTCTCTTCATTCCCAAGGAGGCACATCTCTGTGTAGCAGCCTGTCATTGGCCCCAGCCTTTCTCCCACACCAGGTGCCCAAACTCTCTAGTTCAATACTAACTCTAATACTTCTCTCTGAGACTGCACTGGGCCAGAAATGTCTATATCTACCTGACCCCTGCAGTCCCTCACTGGAAGGAAGGTTATAACACCAGGACCCCCCAACAGGATGGTCACTCACCCTGCGATTCCGATTGTGATCCACGGTCTTGAGGTGCTTCTGGATGATCCCAAACTGCATGGGAATGAAAAGGTCACAGGCTGCACAGTGGGCTGCCTCAACCTTCTTCACAAAATGCTCCAGGGCAATTTCTGTAGGGGAAAAAGGAGAGTGTTGCCACTAATATTAGGTGACCCAGAAGTTTGTGAAAAACACCAGCCTAGCTACTCACTTCACATGAGCCTGAGGCTATTCTCACAAACATTCTCTGGGGGACGAGGGGAGTCATGACCGGAAGAGGACAGGCTGAGGCCCTGCCAGTAGGAGTGAGATGGAACCTCCTCACCTTGTGTCAGATCCTGGTCTCTATAGATCTGCTGGATCAAACCATCAAGGTCCTCCACAGTTTTTCGGAGCTCCTCTGTCTTCTTGGTCTTGTTGGTGACATACTCCTGCCAGAGACACGGAGGAGAGACCAAGGTTCACGTGGGCTGCTCAGGGAACTGAGAAGAGAAGAGCACCGGTGCCACTTCAAGGCTCACCTGCAGAAAGTCAGCTGTCTGCTTGGGAAGTTTGGTGCCTACGTACTTAAAGTGCTCCTTGTGGAACTTGCTGTCGAGGTGGCTAGCCATCTCATCCTCATAGAAGGTCCGGTACTTGCAGAGAGAACACACAAACTGGATCCTGCCACAGGAGGAAAACGAAGGGTTGAGGCCTTGATGGTTCCATGGAACAGTGCTGCTGTCTCACCCAACCCAGCTCCGAGCCCTGAAATAGGCTTTGCTCACGAGCCTCTGAAGTGCAGTCCCAGCCAGGGACAGGCTGGGATCAGTGGGGTCGGGAGTAGAAAGGGCAGAAAGTCTGCAGGCTGCAGTTACTGCAACGTAGGGGACAGGGAGGAGCTCTTCCTTCCCACAGGCAGGAGACTGAAGCCTGCTGAAGCCTGAGGCAGCAGCTGCTACAACAGGCAAGGAGTCGCTGGAAGGTAGCCAGAAGGCTTCTCTACCAAGGCTAGGCAGGAGCTGTGTACTTGGCCCAGCTGGGAACCAGAAGGAAGAATGCCCTGGCATGAGCCAAGTGGCCCTGAGGTGCAGAGTGGAGTACGCAGTCCTGAGGCAGGGCCAGAAAAAGTGCTGCATCTTCCTCCTGGGGCCGGGGGACTGAAAGGCCCAGCCCATCCTCTACTCAAGAGTGCTCAGGGGTGGTGTCGGGAGGGATGGAAGGCAAGCAGGCCTGGGCACCCGCTGCCTCATCTTCCTCTTCCAAGAAGAGACCAGTCTGAGCTGGAAGGAGGATGCCTGCCCGGCCTGCCAGAGGGCAGCCTGGAGTCACCTGAGCGAGGTGCTCTGTCTGGGCCTGGTGGTCACAGCAGAAGCCCGGGGTCTAGGGCCTGGGCTGGAGCAGGCCGCCGTGGCAAGGGACGGAGGAGGCCAGCCGCCACCGAGGCCTTGGGGCGAGTCCCTACCTCTGCCGGACGTCCTTATCTGGGCCACGGGGTCAGCTTTTTCTGGAGAGCCCAGGGGCCGGGCGCCGGCGAGGCTGAGGAAGGTCCAGCAAGAGCAAGAGTCTGAGGCGGAGGAGGAGGAGGCAAGCGCCAGTACGGGAGCCCTAAGGGCAGACAGACCCGACCAAGCGGCGTGAAGGGCTCAGCCGCAGATAGGCCCGGCCTGACGGGGGCCGGCGGACAGGGCAGAGGGCAGGCCCGAGGCTGCCAAAGCCCACAGGTGCTGCCATCTCTCCTGGGCACGGCGGCAGCCTCTTGGCAGCTAGCTGGGGTGGCACAGGCACCTTGGACCTCGAATCTCTGATGAGCTGGCCCCCTCCCGCAGGGGCATCAGGCCCCCATTGCACCTCCGGACTCCTGTGCCAAGTAACCGAGCGCCAGAGCTTCTGGGCAACGGTGCTGAGCAGTGTAGGATCTCAGGCCAAAGACTCCAGTGGTCACCAGGCGGCCACAGAGGGACAGGGAACGAGCCAGGCCTTGGGAGCTGGGCCGGGTGGGAAGCAGGGTCCATGCACGGCCAAACAGGTGGCAGCTCCCAAGGGAGGCCAGAGGGTGGTGAGGTGGCAGAGCTATGGCCCTGACCTCTTGGTAGCAGCCCCAAAGGGGTACAGGGAAGGTGGTTACCTTTCCACCATGCGGTCTCGCTGCCGCTTCTTCTGTTTGTCCTGGCTCTTCTTGCCTGCCTGTAACTTGTGCTTGGTCTGGCTGCTCTCATCCTGGATGCTCAGAGATCCTAAGGGAACAAAGGGGCACCAGTACCAGCTTAGTTCCAGCAGGTCAGGGCAGGCCCTGTGGCCTTTGGCTGCATCGCAGCATCACCTGCCATCTACTCCAAGGGGTCCATTCTGAGAGCAGCTGTCTGAGCAAGGCCTCTGGCATCGAGCAGGTGGGTACCCTGGACTGGAGAGGGAACAGTTTTGGCCTAGGTTTTGGCCTTAAAAGGGTAGGACACTTGCTGACCGCACCACTCTCTAGGATACCCACACTCCACAGAGCAGGCCACAGGCAGACTGGAAGGCAAAGAGAGGCTGTCTTGATGAGGAGAGCCTGGGTGGTGGGATGCAGGGAGGCTGCAGCTGGGGCCTAAGTGCAGCCCCCAGGGGCAAAGACCCCAAAGCTCACATGGCCCTGCCCACCCTCCCACTGGGCACCGCGGCAATAGTGGGCTAAGGCTGGATTTACTGTTAGGTACCTGCTGGCGCTCATCACTCGGGTGGGGGGACACGGACTCCCAACACAGGGGCTGGAGAGGACACTAAGGGAGAGGACACGCAAACCAGAGCCGTAAAAATTGCACCAAGGGTCCCAGCTCAGACACCAGCCACTGAGGACTTGGACTTCATGTTATTAAGGGACCGAGGGCAGGGGATGTGCCTGGGATTTACCCATACTTTTATTTGCTGCCCCCACCTAAAGTCAAAACCAATGTTCTAGGCAGGGACCACTGCCATTCACAGCCTCCGTCTGGGAAGAACAGGGACAGAGTGTGAAGGGGCAGAGGAAGAGGAGGCCCCCTGCCAGCCCCACAAGGGAAAGTCCGAGCTGGCCATGTCTCTGCCACAACCCTGCCCTCAGCTGGCTGCCTCCCATCATGAGCCCAGAAGAACTGTCCCAACACCCAGGCCACTCAGAATACTCACCCTTGTCTGTATCCTCTTTGCGGTCTTCCTTCCCCTCCTCTTTTCCCTCATCATCTTCTCCTTCCTAAGACACAGTTTCAAAAACCCAGTATCAAGTATATATAGTTGTTCATAATGTCTCTAAATAACAAGGCCCTGCTATGTGCCAGGCACTGGGCCAAGTGCCTCACATCTTCCCTACAGCCCTTGCACTGAGGGCTCATTCCGCCTCTGGCTGAACAGCCTCCCCACAGCCTCGCTCCCTCTACCAGAGTTCCCTGTTTCCTTATGCTGATCATGCATACATGCACAGCTGCCTCAGGCCAGCCTATGAAACCCTGCTCTGTGGCTTAGGGGCTCAGGCAGCCCACTCTTCACTGGCACCCCTACAAACAGAGCGTGCATGCAGGGCTGGAGCCACTTACCACTCTGGAGCCCTTTTCCACAGCGTCTGCAACTTCAGTGCCATCTACAGCTTCCCCCTCGGTGCCCTCATCTGGAAGAGGAGGCATGCTGAGCCCAGGAGGCCCAGGGGGCATGGGGTATGGGGCAGGGGCAGTAACCAATGCCCTGGCTCACCATTGTCCGAGTCACTATTATCTGAGCAGTCAGTCCGGGAGGCTTTGCTGTCTGGCTCATCAGGACTGCCGCACTGCTTTCTCTTCTTCTTCTTGGTCTAGGTCAGAAAGAGGAAGCCAGGTCAGGGCAGGTGGCTCTGGGGCCCTTGCTCCACCCAGTGAGGAGCCAGGAACGAAGGCCTCCTCCACTCACCCGGAAGTCAGCTGTGGTCCAAGTCTTCCAGGTCCTCCTCATCTGCTTCATGCCATTGCCAAACCCGAAGCCAAAGCGGGAGCTGCCTGAGAAGGCACCCCCACCACGCATGCCCTGGAACATGCCATACTCCGGGATGATGTTCTGGGAGAAGAGGGAGGGCAGCCGGGAGGCACCAGGCATGCACTGGCCCCGGGCCCCCATGGGGTCTTCCCACATGCGCCCATAGCCTGAGGCCACTGGCCGGCTACTACGGGAGTCCCGGGCCCAGCCCTGAGCCCGTGGGCCAAAGGTGTCGCCGCCACGCATGCGAAACTGGTCTCGGTAGGCATCGTATTGGCTCTCGTAGGCCATTTCCATCTCAGGGTCAAGTTCGCCATAGTCGTAGCCCGACCGGTAAAGGTCACGCTCATTCAGGACAGCCCTTGAGTCACAGGCCTCGTAGGAATCATATCTGCAGAGGCAGGTGGCAAGCATCAGGGCGAACCTTAGGTCCTGTCACTTTTGCCTCTCCCCAAACCTCCCTTCAACACCTACCCATGCTGCTGAAGAGGCTCAATGTTCAGAAATGCCAGGTAAAAGGCCTCTCAGGAACAGAGTTCTAGAAGTAGGAAGGGCCCCTCAGCCCCAGCTAATGTCCCCAAGCCTATATGTGGACACTCACCAGTCTGGGGACCCTAAGGACTGATGACAGGTAGAGTAGGTCTCAGGGGCAGACACCCCACAGCCCTTAACCCTTTGGAAGCACATGTACATGTCTGTGGTAGTGGTAGCCACAACACCCAAGGTTTCTCCTTGGGCAGGGTGGCAGAGCAGAGCATCCCAACATCCTCCAGCATATGCACTGCCTGTCCAATGGGTTAACGCCCATAGAAACCTGTGTTGATTTCATCCCTATGGCTGGAGGAACCCCCAAACCCCTTCAAAGCCCCTCGCTACCCAAAAGGAGAAGGGGGACATGGAGAGAGTTTCCCAGGAAAAACACTTTGAGCTTGCCCTGGGACTAGGAAAAAATGCTCTATTATATCAACCTGGAGCCTGGTGGGTGAAGGTAGAAGAGGTTAGGGCACTGAGCCCTACACAGCAAAAGGGAAGGTAGGCCAAACCTCCCATGGGGGTTGACAGGACACCATAGAGAGCCATTCTAACCGCACCTGCAGCCCATAGCCCCACAGGGGCCCAGATCCCACTCATCTCACAAGCACAAGAAGTGGCCAGTGCTACCCAAATGCCATTCCATCCCCCACCCATTCCCTGGCTCCAGGCTGTGGCAAGATGGTGCATAGGCAACAGCACAGGGTCCACATGACTACCAAGGTAAGAACCAAGCCCCTCCTGACCTTTGCAATCTCAGCTCCAAGCATGGTGGTTATCAGGCATGAGGACAGGGGGTGTGCCTGGGGATCCTCCCACTTTTTACTTGCTACAAAACCCATACAAGCAAGTCCCTCTGTCTCCCAGTATCCCTGGGGTTCTCACTTGACCCCACTAGTGTCCAGCCAGGCCCCTCCTTACTTTCTGCTCTCCCCCATCTGTCAACTGAAGCCATTAGGCCACTCCACTCCACTTGTGCTGGAAATACGTATGTCACTCTCACTAAAGCCTCTGGCTAGGGCCCAAGAACTCCTGGGCCAGCATCAGTTCAGATAATAACAAAAGCCCAAAGAGTGATGCTGTGGAGCAGGGCAGGTCTGGGTGCCAAGCCTAGCTCTACCACTTACTCCTGGGTGCTTTCTGGCAAGAGTGTGACCTGCCTGTGCCTCACCTGCAGAATGAGGACAGGGACAGTTCTTCAGAGGCCACTTCCAAGGCTCAACAGGTGCATGTCTGTCACACATTGAAGAGCAGCCAGGAAGTGTGCGCATCTGCCTGTCCCTTATATGGGAATGGCCCAGCCTAATGTGGTAAGCTCCAAAGGCTCATCCAACTTTTCACACTCAACCCCATTTGTCCTGCTCTGATTGTGGGCAGGATATAAAGTCTCCAAATTCCAAATGGCTGTCTCCAGAGGGAAGGACCACTTAACACTCAGCTCCTAAGAGCCATTTGGAGGGTACAGTAAAACCAGCCTGGCTTGAAGTTGTTCTTTCCCCTACAAGCTGGGGGAGAGGCTGGTCACCAGGCAGTAGCAATAAGGGTAGGTAGGGGGGCAAAGCCAGAGATGGGCAGTGCACTGGATCCCAGCAGAGTCTCTGGGAGCCCCAGCAATAGAATAAGGAGGGAGGAGGCAGACATGGAGGCAGTTCAGAGAGGGAGAAGCCAGCAGGCAGCAGGCAGGAGCGCCCCTGCAGCACCTCGGCCCCTAGGCAGGCGCCCACTCACCTTTCTCCACCCGAGCTGTACACGCCTCCTTGTATCATGTCTGTCTCCAAGTGCGGCACCATATCTAAGCGCTGGTTAATTCTGGATAAAATGGAATCAGCACTGGCGCTACCCACAGCACTAGGGTTTGCATTTGTGTCAGAGCTAGGAATTTCCCAAGAGTTTGAAGTGGCCATACCGTACCCATAGTTGGTGGTGTTATCCTGGCCATAACCATAGCCATAACCATAGTTCTCGTAGCCTGCAATGAAGGAGAGAGAGAGACAGATGGAGATGGCAGGGAGAAAAAAGACAGTGAAAGAGAAACAAATACAGAGACAACAATGTTGTCTGTTACAGAGACAATCTGAGGACACTAGCCACCTAATGAGTCCTGTGAACAAGTATCCGTCCCAGAGCCCCCAAAGGCACCCATCCACCCAGACACATAACCAGTTCAATACCAAGGGAGAGGACAGCAATCATGGAAATGATACTTGCCTCTGTTCGTCCCAGAGTTCCAAGTTCCATATCCTACAAAAAAATAAATGGGTAATTAGATCTTACAATACAATGAGAGCTTAATTCAAGAACAAATGATGTCAATGACTTCCAGAATCTGACTGCCTGCAGGAGACTTTAACCAGCCCTTAATTGAGAAGCCTGGAGCTTGACAGCACCACATAAATGATCAAGGCCACTCATTGCCCTGGAGCTCCACCATCTGCTATTCAAGGAGCCTCCCCTTCAAAACACTCTCAGCTAAGGAATTTGGTTCCTATACTCTTTAGGAGCCAAAATTAGAAGACTGCCCTACTCCTGACTAAGCACCAATCAGAGGAAAAGGAGAATGTTTCCCAGTGCCCCATACAGATTCTGTAGTACAAGAAGCTCAGCACTGAGTCCACATCTATGCTGAATTATGTCACTCAAATTGCCCAACAAAGACATCTGGAGTAGAGAAACTTATCACCCTAGTCCCTCAAATGTCCACCTTAACAGAAAGAGCCATTAAGCCCTTAAATTGTGTAACTGTGGCTCTAGCCAGTGTATCTCAGTGGTTAGAACGTTGGCCCGTGCACTGAAGGGTCTCAGGTTCAATTCCCAGTCAAGGGCACGTACGTGGGTTGCAGGTTCAATCCCTGGCCCTGGTCAGGGTACATATAGAAGGGAACAAATTGAAAGCTCTGTCTCTGTCTCCCTTACACTCTCTCTTAAAAAAAAAAAGTCAGCTCTGGCCGGTTTGGCTCAGCGGTTAGAGCGTTGGCCTGCAGACCAGAGAGTCCCGGGTTCGGTTCCCACTAAGGGCATGTACCTCAGTTGCAGTTTGTCCCCAGACCTGGTTGGGTCATGCGGGTGGCAGCCACTCGATGTGTCCCTTTCACGTCGATGTTTCTCTCTCTCTCCCACCCTCCCACTCTATCTGAACAAAAAATGAAAAAATGTCCTCGGGTGAGGATAAAAAAAAAGTCAATGGAAAAAATATCATCAGGTGAAGATTAACAACAACAAATTTGTGTGTGTTGTGCTGGAACATATCATCAGAGGGAAGGACAAGACACAGCTTCAGTCTGGACTATAAACTAAATGTGCTGCAGTTTATCATAGTACATGAGAAAAAGTCCTTCCTTCAGGAACACAAAGCCACCTACAGCTGACAAAGTATGAAGCCAAGTGGGAACTGAGTCAAGCAGACATGATTCCTCCCCAGAGGAGTCCATGAAAAGACACCCACTTCCCAGTGTCTCTGGTGAGAGCTGAGTCATCTACTTCTGATTCTCTCTACCATGCTCATTTCAGGGCAGGACCAAAGTTCAGTGAGATAGCATTAAGATGAACGGCAGAATCCAGCAAAGCACAGCAAGAACACACACACTGAGAAGATGAACCAGGGAGAATGCTGGATGGGTTGAGATCTGCCTCAATCCAGTGCACAAACAAAATAAGGAGGCATCAAAAGCCAGTGAGGGACTTTAGATGACCACTACATTTAATGAATGTGAACATAAAAGAGCTCACAAAGCAAAAATCCTCTTTGGGGAAACCAAAGCAGAGGCTTCTCATACAGTCATTTATTCAACAACTATCATCCTGAGCACACAAGGCAGAGACTGGCAGATCTGGGCATTGCTCAGGGTTGGAGCACTATATGTTAAAGGAGAGAGAGACTACTAACTAGTTAGTAGCAATGGACAGCCAGGAGTGGGAAATCATATAATGAGTGATGGGTAGGAAGAAAGGCTGGCAAAGCCACACAAAAAGAATAATGTACTTAGTCCCAGAAGATACAGGAGCCTGGTCATGTGGCTGTTTGCACCAGGGACAGTGGACACTAACTATCTGTAAAAGGAGACAGGACTGGGAGTCAAGGCAAACCCATTGGGGCTCTGCTGCTGAGGACCCACCAAGAATAGTGAAGTAGCACAAGGGAAGGAAGCAGTAACCGGCACTGATAAGTACTCCATTTGTGCCATTTGCTATGCCTGGAGCAACCCAGACTCCCTAAGGGGCTCCCCAGGGAGAAGTCTTTGTCCACAACATAGCATTTGAATATAACCTCGTCCTGCCCCCAGACCTGCCCCTTCCAAAAGAACATCCAAACTCACTTCCATCCCCAGAAAGGTAAAACCATTGTTAACCAAGGAAATTTTAAGGACATGTTATTTTAAAATGTTTTTTTTTACTGATTTTTTAGAGGGGAAAAAAGAGAGATAGAAACTTTGATACGAGAGAAAAACATCTAGCGGCTGTTCCTGCACACCCCCTACTGGGGATTAAGCCTGCAACCTGGGCATGTGCCCTGACCAGGAATCAAACCAGGACCTCTCAGTCCACGGGACGACACTCAATCCACTGAGCCACACTGGCCAGGGTAGGACATATTACTTTTAAAAAAGAAACAAACAAAAGAAAAGACATGGAGATGATCATGGTAAGCAATACTTATAGAGCAAAAATAAATACTCAGCCCTGGCTAGTGTGTCTCAGTGGTTGGAGCATCTGCCCCTGCACCATAGGGTCGCAGGTTCGATTCCCAGCCCCAGGTTGGGGCATGTGTGGGAGGCAACCAATTGATGTCTGTCTCACATAGATGTTTCTCTCTCTCTCCCTACCTCTCTCCCTTCCACTCTCTCTAAAAAGAAATCAATGGAAAAAATAGCCTCGGATGAGGATCAACAACAACAACAAAAAGATAAAATAAAATAAAAAAACTCAGTGAAATATCTCATTTAAACCTAAGATCTAAATAAATAGAAAATTATGGATCAGAAAACTTAATATTGTTAAGATGTTAATTCTCCCAAACTAATCAAGTCTATTAAGCTTTTTGTGGCACAAAAAAATGTGCTACAATAAGATAAATAAAGCAAGATACACAATTCTGTCCACCTATAAATTATTCAACTACCTAAGATAGGTATGCTGATAAAAGTTAAATATTAAAACGGTGGGCTCTTGGTTAACTGTTTTTCAAAATGTTATATAAATGTTGTTACAGCTCTGGCCGGTTTGGCTCAGGGGTTAGAGTGTCGGCCCGTGGTCCAGAGAGACCGGGTTCGGTTCCTGCTAACGGCACGTGTGAAGGCAGCCACTCGATGTGTCCCCTTCATGTTGATGTTTCTCTCTCTCTCTCTAGCTCTCTCTCTCTCTCCCACTCTATCTGAACAAAAATGGAAAAATGTCCTCAGGTGAGGATAGATAAATCTGCCACTATACTTTCACATGATTGTCTACATAAAAAAAATCAAGCAATCTACAAGAGTTACTAGAATAAGTGAGCTCTGCAAAGTTTACTACAGTCAGTATACAAAAACCAACCCGAGCCCTGGCCGGTTTGGCTCAGCGGTTAGAGCGTCGGCCTGCGGTCCGGAGAGACCCGGGTTCGGTTCCCGCTAAGGGCATGTACTACGGTTGCAGTTTGTCCCCGGCCCTGGTTGGTTGTGCGGTGGCAGCCACTCGATGTGTCCCTTCACGTCGATGTTTCTCTCTCTCTGTCTCTTCCTCTCTCTCCCTCCCACTCTAGCTGTACAAAAAATGGAAATGTCCTCGGGTGAGGATAAAAAAAACAAACAAACAAACAAAAAAAAACAAAAACCAACCCGATTTCTACATATTAGCAATGAACAACTGAAAACTAAAAAGTTTAAAAGTACCACTTACTTTAGCACTAAGAAATACTTAAGTGTAAATAAAACAAAATGTATGTCAGATCTGTATTGGAAACTACAACACACTAATGAAAGAAATCTAAGATCTAAATAAATGGAGTATTATGGATCAGAAAACTTAGTATTGTTAAGATGTTAATTCTCCCAAACTAATCTATAGATTCAAGACAGTTTTGTGTTTTACATTTATTTTGTGATCCATTTTGAGTTAATATTTCTACAAGGCGTGCAGTATAGCTCAGGACTGTTCTTTACCTTTGTAACTGGGCTGTGATTCTGTTCCATTGATTGATGTATCTAAATTTCCACCAGTACTACACGGTCTTGTTTACTGTATATTAAGTCTTGAAATCAGGTAATGTGAGTCCTCCAGGTTTGTTTGTTTTTTCAGAATTGACTTGGATATTCTAGTTCTTTTGCTTTTGCATATAAATTTTAGAATCAGTTTGTCCATTTCTATAAAAATTCCTGATGATCCTGATGAGATTTTTGAGTGGGAAGGTTAGAGGCCTGGCCAGTGTGGCTTGGTTGGTTGGGGCATCGCCCCATGCACCAGAAGGCTGAGGGTTTGATTCTGAGGGCACATACCTAGGAATCAGGTTTAAAGCCTGGTTGGGGAACGTTCAAGAGGTAACTGATCAATGTATCTCACATTGATGTTTTTCTCTTTCTCTCCTTTCTTCCCTCTCTAAAAACAAAATAAAACAGAATCTCCAGTTTTTCCTGGCCAGTGTGGCTCAAGACAGTGCGGGTTTGATCCCTGGTCAGAGTGCATACGGGACATAACTGATCGATGATTTCCCCCTCCCCCCCTTAAAATCAATAATCTTTGCAACCCTGGGTTAGGCATAAATTTCTTAGATACCATAAATTTCTTGTGATTCTAAAATCACAATCTATTAAAGGCTAATAAATTGGACTTATCAAAATGAAGAACTTGTGTTCTTCAAAAGACACTGACAAGAGAATAAAGAGACAAAGCCAGAGTTTAGGATAAAATATTTGCAAAGAGCACATCTAATAAAATGCTTATTCCCAGAATATGTAAACCAGAGGGAAAACTATTCAAAAAAGAAGATGTGCAATTTAGTACTATGTTTGATTAAAAGGGGTGAGGCAAGGATGGCAGGAGAGGGAAGCCATGCAGACCAAGTTTCTCCTTACTTACGAAATACCTGATAACTCCTTACTCAACTTCAAAACACTGTAAATCTCCCTCTCCTACAGGGAATAGCTGTTAAAACTTTAGGTAGCTTACTTAGGTCCATTTACTCAGTGACTCCTGAGGGAATGTCACCATGTAGGCTTAGTCTTTCCCCAGACCTTGGTAGTAAAACAAACTACCCATCTCAGCAACGAAGGCATTATCCTTATTAATTCCAAAAAGGTTTCTCTGTCAAGACATCTAGGGTCATACAACATGGAAAGACCCACTTCACTGGCAGTTACAGCTGCTGAAGCATGCTGAGAGAATATCTATGGACCCTGTCCGGTGGCTACTCCTGAATTAGATTTAGTGTTTCTGTCCACACTTGAGAAATCAATCAGAGATTTTACCTCAACCCTACATGCGAGAAGCTGCCTGGCTTGAGATAGCCTGACATTTTTATTTTTTTTATCCTCATCTGAGAACATTTTTCCTTTTTTTTAGATAGAGTGGAAGGAAGAGAGAGAGAAACATCGATGTGAAAGGGACACATCGAGTGGTCGCCCCCCACACAACCCAACCAGGGCCAGGGACAAACTGCAACCAAGGTACATGCCCTTAGCGGGAACCAAACCCGGGACCGCAGGGTGACACTCTAACCGCTGAGCCAAACCGGCCAGGGCTAGCCTGACATTTTTAAAAGCTCGCTAGATTCACCCTGGCAGGTCTGGCTCAGTAGTTAATGTTGGCCCACAGACCAGTTCTATAGAGTCGCAAGTTCTATTCAGATTAAGAGCACATACCTGGGTTGCAGTGTCCCTGACCCTGGTGGGGGTCATGAGGGAGGTAACCAATCAATATGTCTCTCTCAATGTCTCTCACATCGATGTGCCTCTCTCTCTCTCTCTCTCTCTCTCTCTCTCCCTCTCCCTCTCCCTCTCTCCCCCTGCCTCCCTCCCACTCTATCTGAAGATAAATGGAAAACTATCCTCGGGTGAGGATTTAAAAAAATACATACATATATATATATACATAAATAAAAGCTGGCTGGATTCAGACAGGCAGACTCTCTGGCAAGCGGACCCATACACTACCTTGGGGCTAAGTTAATGGCTTGGTTTCCACTCATACCAATCCTTTGAACTTTGGCCACTCTCCTTTCCAGACCCTCAAGATTTTCTGAAACCAGACCTTTAACACAGACTTCTAACAAAATGTTAAAGGGTCAAATAAACCAATAATTTCCAGTCCCCAGACTTCCAACTTGTTCAATAACACAGACATCTCTTCATAATTGCCTCAAAGAGGGGAACACCAGCTACTACTCAAACAGCCCACTACATCATTTTATACAAGTTTGGATTTAGAAAAGCAAGACAGGGTGACAGCAAGGCCAAAGGCAACTAACAAGACACCAGACTGCTCTGGTACTAGAAGGCAGAGCAGTCAACCTCTGGTTCCCAGGGGCCCACACTTACCATAATCACAGGTGGGCTGAGCACTTGTATCTGAGTACGTTGACTGCAAAGTGGTTTCAGATCCTTGGACAAAGCCTAAACATATGCACAGTGTGGTTAATTTCTCCAAACAAGCGATCTGCCAATGACCTAAGACTACCCTTTAGTATAGATTGGTAGGCCCTCCCCTCACTGGAAAGCCTAAATTCTAGCTTCTGAACACTTTAATTACACTTCCAGAACATATTAACCAATAGAAAGGCAGGCTATGTTTAACTTGCTATATCAGAAGAACTGGATAACAATTTTCAAATACTTAAACCAGTAACCCAAGGACGGGGTTTATTTTTTAACAATGTTTAGACAAATAATACTCCCCCCTTCCCCCAAACCTGAAACCAAAACTGTTTTGTATTTTCAATTTTCCCATAAAAATGTACATGTTACAATTACCTCTTAAATGTAATTACTTGGGTTAGAATGTTTACATGGAATGAACATTACATATAATATACATATTATTTCCTATTTTCTCAACTCTCAAACTATTTCACAACTTAAAATAAATTAGTACCAAGCAAGGAAAACTTGAACCTCTACCAGAAACTACTGCTTTTAAATGCTTATGGTAACAGACTATGATGAATACTAATACTACATTTTTAAAAAATCTTTAATGATTTACCCACAGCACTGAAATTATGACAGACACCATTAAGAAGCAGTATTTGCCTATTCCCATCAGGGCCAACTCATGACCTAAAAATAAAAGCCAGTGCCTCCAATAACTTATTTACAACAAAAGCATATACCAAGGATAAGCATTCACATATTTGTTAACATTTTCTCTAGTTCATCTCTTAAAACCACAGCAACAGCAGCCAACATTGAATAGGTATTTCCCCTGCAGGGTGCTAAGAGCTTCTGCATTATTTCATTTCGTCCTCACCACAGCCAACAAAGGGGACAGGGCCAAGATCCTTTACCCTGCAATTCCAGTCCAAAAAGGTCTGCAAACGAAGTATTCTCCTCAAATGTGGTACAAAAAATGATCTGTGAGGATAATTATGATCTTTCTTTACCCCACTTGGTACAGAAATAATGTGTTTAATTACTGGGTGCTAGTACACATCCCAGTGTGGGTGCTGTGGAATATCCTTTTCTCAAACTAGAATTCCAAAACACACCCAGTGCCAAAGGTTTCAAACAAGGATCCATGGACTACCACTTTATCTTTAATTTTCAGTAAAGGGAACTGAGAAGAGGTACCAGGGAAAAGGAAAGCCAAAAAGTATTCAAACCCAACCTTTTTAACCTTCCCTAATTAAAGAGGGCACATTCAAATGAATCCCCTCCAGGAACCCGGCAGCTTCCCCAGATACCTAAATTCTAAGCAATGATGTAACACATCAAGAAACAGAAAGCATTCTTCACATAATTAACCTGTGAGGAAGGCTCACAAGTATAAAAAAGCACCCAATACCTGTTTTCTACAGCTTGTTCAAGTAGCTTCTGGAAACTTGTTTGTTCAGCAACCGGGCCACCAGCAAAATGGCACCAGACTTTAGGTAATGTTAGGTAACGTGGTTTGTAAGTACTGCAGCTACAATTGGAACCTACCACAGGCTGACAGCAATACATAACGGAACACAGTATGAAAGCTGCAGAGCAAAAACTCTATGTCTATTCAGGAGAAAGGGGCCCTGGTTCTTTCTCCCCTGGGAAAAAGGAAAGACAATCTACACAACCTTAAGAGCTCAATGGCAACCTCTGCTCTAGTTCTGTCCCTGCCCACATTAACATTCTGGGCAGGACTTTCATTAATCAGTTATGCTCTAATTGTGAGTAAATTCTTTCTTGTCAGGGTTATAAATCACTCTCTTCTTGGTTTCATGAACCAACCTGACCAGCTCTAGGTGAAAAATCAAATAAGCAAGCTTTTGGTTCTATAAAGCTAAGGGTCAGACCGTGGATTTACAGTAACTATGCATCATAGCCCTCTCCTCTTGGCCAGTCTCTCTGACATCTTTTTTACACAAAAACATACAAAGCTTCTCAGTTTTATCTTGTTCCTTTTCTTTCTGAAACAGGATACTATTTGGTGATAACCAGCCTCTAACATGGCCTCCAGTGAGTCTTAACTTCTGCCATTATGTTAGTTATGTTGCCCCTTAACAAACTCATACAAGTAGCTAAAGTAACCAATAAGATATTGCAAAAATGAATATTACTTCCGAGGCTTCCCCCTTGTTCTCTCTTAGATCATTCACTCTGGGGAACACTAGACACCATGTTGTGAGGCCCCTTTAGCAGGACGGTGGAGAAGTCCACATGGTGAGGAACCAACAGCCAGCATCACCCTACTAGCCATGTAAGTTTAAGTCACCTTGGACATGAATCCTTCAGCACTAGTCAAGCCTTCAGATGACTCTAGTCCAGACTAACATCCAAAATGTAACCTCATAAGAGATCCCAAGCCAGAATCATTCAGCTTAACCACTTGTGTGTTCCTAACACACAGTAACTGTAAAATAATAAATATTCCCATAAAAAAATTGGTAGTAGTCCTGGCCGGTTTGGCTCAGCAGTTAAGGGCATCAGCCCACGGACAGGAGAGTCACCAGTTCAATCTTGGGCCAGTCGGGGTCATGCCAATTGATGTTTTGTTTTGTTTATTTTTTTCTCTCTCCCTCCCACTCTATCAAAAAAAAAAAAAAAAAAAAATTGGTAGCATTTAAGAACTTTGTTTTAAGGCCTGGTTCTGGATTTTTCTGTCCTGTGTTTCCATTGCTTTCATCTTTCCCCTCAGTGCCAGAGACAAAGACTCCTTTCCCAAGCATACATAAACTAAGTTCAAAAGCTGGACAAGTTATCAGAAAGATAAATTATTTTAATCACATTATATAAGTAATAATGCTGACATTTGTTTCAAGGCCTCCAGAAATTCTCCTTAAAGGCAAAATAATTGAGATATGATTAAAATGCCTTTCACTTTAGAGGTTAGTTTCTTAAAAGTGAAAGACACGATAAAGTAATTTTGGCTTTCAGTTGATCAAGATCCAGGAGCCCTGCTCGGTTTGGTTCAGCGGTTAGAGTGTCGACCTGCAGTCCAGAGAGACCCAGGTTCGGTTTCCACTAAGGGCATGTATCTCAGATGCAATTTGTCCCTGGCCCTGGTTGGGTCGTGCAGGTGGCAGCCACTCGATGTGTCCCTTTCATATCAATGTTTCTCTTCTCTCTCCCTCCCACTCTAGCTGAACAAAAAATGGAAAAATGTCCTCGGTTGTGGATTAAAAAAAAAAAAATCCAGGAAAAACTAATCATTACCTCATTAGCTTCACTAACTCCGTACCCACTCAAACCAAAGTTACAGCCTACAAGATCTGGAGTTAAAATTCAGACTCGGCCATTAGTGACCACTCTAACTCAGTTTCCTTGTCTATAAATATAAATGCCCCATTTTTAAGTTCCCCATAGCACCTAACCATTCATGTTCTGGTTTCTTCAGCAGTCTTGCTCCTAACCACCACAGAACTGTCTTCCAGGTCTCAGTAAGGCTTGGTGAAAAAGATTACATCTCAATTAATGTCAGTAACAACCTTACTGACTTTCCTCCTGAACCAGGAAAGCTACAGAAATGCTAGGACAGGACTGCCCAATCTTGGCATTACTGACTTCCAAGCCAGATAATTCTTTGTGGTAGGGGATCCATCTTGTGTACTGTAAGATGTCTAGCAGCATTCCTGGTCTCTATACACTGAATGACACCCCTCCCACCAGACATGACAACCAAAAATGTCTCAAACATTGCCAAATGTTCTACCTCCCTGGGGCGGGGATAGAACTGGCTCTGGTTGAGAACCACAGGGCTAAGGGATGACTGCTTGGTGTTCTTGCCAAGCTCCTGACCGAGGTGCCAGAGGAAGGAGACCTGGCACCACCTCCAAGCCTAGGCCAACATAAAGCAGCCTACTGCAGAGCCTCTGGCTCAGGTTCCATTCCTAGTTCCCAGTATTCCAGAGTAGAATGCTGGTTACCAGGCAACCACACATGCTCAGCCTAATACCCACCTGAAAGGGGGAGGCCTAGTCTATGGCTCCTGATTGAGCAGCTTCATTGGTTACTACCAAGACAAACCCAGCAGTCCAATTCATCTGGAGATAAATTACAATTGTCCACGCATATCTGAGGCCCCCCTCTCTTATCTTATCATCCACCCTCCGATTTGCTCAAGTACCACTGGCCTCCCTGGCAGAACTTCAAAGGAGCCAGGCAGCTCCTACCCCTGGGCCTTTAAGTCAAGGGCTCCTTGTGCCAAATACTCTGAACTCCCTTACTATGTCTAATCCAGTCTCTGCTTGAATGTCACTTCTTTACAGGTCTCCAACTACCCCAAGTAATAGAACAACTTCCGCAGGGTACCGACCACCTCAGAATATATCCTACATTCATTTGTTTGTTTGCTGTGGTCTGCCTCTCCCTATAAACTGTTTGAGGAATTCTTGCCAGTATTCCAGTACCTATTCAGCACCTGCGACGATGACTCTGACAGATGGTGAATGAATTACCATGGAAACGAGCCATTTCATGCAAGGTTCAGGCTGTCTCTCAGGACACAAGATGCCCCGCTCAGTCAAACCCTCCAAATATCTACTCCTCGCCCAAGGGCCTGGTGCCTCTACCAGCCCGGGCCGGCACCGGGAGAGTGGAGCTGCGGCATCCTGCAGGGACACTACGTGGGGGAGGGTGCGGCAACGGCGTCGGCAGCTAAACCCACTCATCGGAAGGGCCGAGGCCTGAGAAAAGGCGACCTGAGGCTGCGAGGTCCGAAAAGGCCAGTCCAGAGACGGAGGTGGTGAGAGAAAAGACCTCGGACCCCGCGGCCACGGGCGACAGAAACCAAAACCTCGCGAGCCCGGGAGCTGGAACGCGAGAATCAAGCAACAGAAAACCGAGAAGCCGAGGATTGAGGGGCGCGAACCTGAGGGGACCCGTCTGCGGCGCCATTTTGTGACCGCAGAAAGAGCGGTATCCAGGCCCCGGGGGAGGTGCGGGCGAGCCCGGCACGGCCTTGGCACATCCCAGTCCTTCCCCATCCCGAGCCTGACTCCGGACCCAGGCGGGCTCACCTGTGTAGCTCATGATAGCGGCGAACACTGCACCCGAGAATTTCGGCAGATGTCCTGCACGTCGGACGCGGAGATAGCCGTGGCAACCCCCGGGATCTTGCTACACACAATCGAGCCCCGCCTCCCGACCGTATTGGCTCACGCCCAGCTCTGACTTCACGTCTATTGGGTCATCACGCTGTCTATCTCAGAGTGTCCTTATACCTTGGCTGAGGCTATTGCCAATCTCATGAGAGCCCCGCCCTACCACTGCCTTCCGTTATCTCAAGCCCGCGGTGATTGGCTAAGATAAGCGGGTCTGGAAGTGGTGTCCTGTAGAGCTCGAAGGGGCGGAGCTATGAACTACGGAAAGACCTGAGGCTCAAGGGTGGCCGGGTGGGTGGAGAGTCTGTGCCCCCGAGGCCCGCCAGAGGGAGCTGGGTCTACAGCGCTGGGCAGCGTTCCAATCCTGTCTCCGCCACCCGGGTGCCGTGCCAATCTGGGCTGTTTCTAATGTCTCTGGCCATCAGCTTCTTCAAATGAGCATGGTAAAGCCATGTTGGAATGAAAATTACAACTAAACACCAAACAAGATGCTGGGCACAGGTTCAAACGTATGAGATAATATACATAATAGATAATGTGTAATCAGTCCAGGGCGGGGCGTACTAAATAAATGTTATCAATGGTTACATAACAATAACAAATATATTTATATAGCATATTTATATTATATATGTAGCAGATGTATTGTTTATCATCTCGAATGTTTCCTCACACCTGCGAGGACCTTGTTTTTTGTGTGTTTTTTAAAATTCTCATTTAAAAGATAAGAAAACCGAGACTTGGAATTCATGGCTTGCTCAAGGTCCTTGACACTTAAGTGTTAAAGCTGGAACGACCCCTCTAAAATCTTCTTGGTTGTTCTGACTTTAGAGATATGCCGTGGCCACACCAGGATCCAGCTCTGTCTTCAGCACCCTCACTGGATATGTGCAATCCAGTGTCAGAGACATCTCATAACTTCTAAGACAGTGTCTGGCAGAGCTGCAGACACTGAAAACAGTCATTAACATGTATTTGTGAAAATTCATATTGCCACGCAATTATGACTTTTACACTTTTTTCTGTCATAATACAGATAGGGAGGGGGCGGAGGCAGAGTTTATAACTGAAGAGACTAGTTATAAGTTAATAATTGATGAGTAGATGAGAGTTCGTTGTACTATTCTACCTTTGTAGGGTTGGAATTCTCCATAAAATTTTAGCAAAACAACCCCCCCCCAATGGGGATTCTGCAGAACTTGCTGCCAGGTGGGACAAGGGTTATGATGTACTGAGAAACTCCGTATGTGAAGCACATAAAACTGATGAATGTGCACTCTAGTTTTGGGGCTCGGCTCATTTGTCACCCTCAGGGATACCTGCCTGCCTGTCCACCAAGCTGTCCCCTGGACACATCTCCTGGGGAGCTTTCTTCATAGCACATACCACAGCCATCATTTTACCCTTATTTAATAATTAACATTTTAACCCTTTGCCTCAGAGAGTCAGAATAACTTAAGGGGTGTGCTCAGAAGTTTAGAAAAAGATCACTCTGTGGTAAGAACTGTATGTGACCCTTTCAAAGACTCACACAGCTATTACAACACAATTTGGATGAAGAAGGGCTTCCCATGTAAGTTTTGCATCATTTGAACTTTTTTTATATCCAGCTTACAGCACTTTTATACTTTTTAAACTAATTTATAAAAGGATGAAAGAAGTACCTTTAGGTCAGCTCTTATCCAAGAGATAACCTCCCTGCTTTCAAAGTCTCAGACACACCCACCCACAGAGTGGGACAGACAGCAGTGGTGAAGCCTTCCTCCACAGGGCAAGATGTGTGTCCTAACCTCCCATGAGCAGAAAAGCCAAGTGTGCAGGCCAAGATCACTCCTGTGGTCACGTTGTCACAGCTTCTTAGCCCTTCATCCCCAGTCAGGTACATGGTGGGGGCTGGGGTAAAAGGGTTGGGGCTGAGGAGGCCTCTTCTGTCTATACCCCTTGAGGTCATTCCCACTTTCCAGCCCTTGGCCGTTTCATTGAAAACGATGAGCTAAAAAACCACATGCAATAAACAAGAAGGAGCAGCCAACAAAATCTCTTAAAATCTCAGAAATGTTCAATAAACACTTGCAGAGCGAGAAAATAAATAACATTGCAGAGGAGCCAGCAGCTCCCTTTCTCTGTTACTGGGGTTCAGGGTGCATGTATCTCCCGACAGGTCTTGAGGGCAGGCCAGTCCCAGCTCTCTAAAGGCTCCTGGCGGCGGTGCACTCCTTCCTCCCCCAGATGCTCACTGGTCAGCTCCTGACTCTCGAGAGCCTTTGGGCCTCAACTGTTTCTCCATCCTGGCTCCCTTCCTGGACCAGCTGCCCAAAGCCCTGTTTCCTCTCCTCTGCACATAGGAGCTGCTTCATCAGCCGACCAGAGCCCCCACCGGCCATGCCATAGAGGGTCAACAAGCTGGAAACTTGAGCTCATCCCCAGCTAGGTCTGACTGGCTTGGCAGCCAAAGGGAAAACCTAGGACCTCTGGGGGCTCTGGGTGGAGGCAGCTTGATCCCAGCCCCAGATGCCAGCAGATGCCAGCCTGTCCACTTGACAGAAAAACACACGCTGGCCGCCTGCCCCAGGGTGTTTCCAGAAGAGAAATTTAATCTAATTTACATACTTCTAGGTACATCAATAACCAAAATGTGGCCACTGAAAAAAGTTAAAAGATTGATCAGCTCCCGGTTTCTAGCTGGCCCAGGATCACAAAATAAAAAGATCCACGTTCCTTATTCTCTACACAAATGCGTTTTTAAAAAAGTGAAAGGTCTAGGGAGCTATACATAGAAAGGAACAGTGAAAAGAGGGAGGGGGTGGGGATGGGGGAGGAGAGTCCCACCCCATCCCCTCCAGGGCCCGGAGCCCCCAGAGGCTCTGGGGAACCTGGACATGGCAGGAGGCAGCTGTCAGCTCTGAGCTCTTCCCAGCTGGGAAGGCCCCTCTGGGGGGGGCAGCCAACAAGGATTTCCGTGGCATTGTGGGCTCAATGGGGGCTCCCAGGCCCAGGTGGGCCCACAAAGGGAGCATGCCTTCCCCTGAGCAAGCACCGTGGCATGATGTGGTCGTTTGACTCGGGAACTGGGGGGCTGGGGCAGATCCCGGGTGTCACGAAGTGTGTGCGTGCATGCGTGTGTGTGTGTATGTGTTTGCATGTGCGTGCGTGTAAGAGGATACTCATGGGGCAAGAGGGAACCAGGAGAGGGGGTCTTTGGGGTCTTTACAAATGGCCACAGATGGCAAATAGAACCCCCACCTGGCTGCTAGACATTGGGGAGTGCTGGCCTTCTTCCCATAACCTGATCACCTGCCACCAGACACCTGGCCTTGGCCCTGGCTGGACTGGGTAGGTGTGGCCTGAAGGAAGATGCCCTGGGTTTGGCCCCAGAGTCCTTGAGCTGGGGAAGGGGCGCCCTGGCTGTAGTGTGCCCGGCCCCCAAGGGTGCCGGTTTGAGGTTTTGGCTTGCTCCTTTGGGAACGGAAAAGAAAGAGGGAAGAGAGGGAGGAGGAGACCGAGGAGGAGGAGACAGAGGTGGCACGAGAGAGATCTGGAATGCTTTTGTGTTAGGGTGCCTCTGCCGCCGCTGTCTGTGCTGGCGGGGCCTGGGGCTCCTCGGGCGGGGGATCTGCTTTGGAGAAATTCATCTCCAGGATGTGCCGCTGTAAGTGCCGCACCCACTCCTCCTGGATGGAGAGAGGTCCCTGGAATTCCACCTCACAGAACCTGCGTGGGGGACAGAGAGAGGGAGGAGTGGCCAGTGCCCTGGCTACACCGTGAGTGTCCAGCAAACCTGCTGTTGCTCAGCGTTGACAGAGCAAGCCCCGGATTTGAGGGAAAGGAGCCCAGAAGCCAGATGTTCCCTGATGAACAGCGACCTCTACGCATCACAGGGTACTGGCCAGGTCCCCTGAAGCCCCATCTCTATGTTCAGGGCAGTCTGCTGGCGCAGGTGCTGAGTATGGGCCATCTGGCTTCCCAAGCATCTCCACCATCTGACTAAGAATGTGCTCTGATTGGAGAAAGCAGAGAAGCAGATCCTGCCCTGCCAGGCTGCAGTATAGAAGGATGAAGCTGGGGAAAGGAGGGTCAGGCACTAACAAGCACCTTCCCTGCTCGTGCACCAAACCCACCAGCTCCCAGCTCTCACACCCTAAGGAAGGTCTCACAGCACAGAAGCCTCAAACCCAAGCTTGTGGCTAGAGAGACTTAGGTTTGAATCCTACTTCTGATTTGTCCTGTGTGGCCTGAGGCAGCCCTCTCATTCCAGACTCCCAGTTTCCTAGCCTCTGACATTCACCTAGACTTTGGTAAAAATGAACTAAGACCTATTTTTTTCTTAATCAGGAAGACACTTGTTGAGAACTTACTGTGTTTCAGACACAGTCTGAGTGCTTTATAAACATTCAACTCTTAATCCTCATAACAAATCCATTTGTAAGGTGGGAATTATATAGGTGGGAATATTGAGGCATGGAACAGAAAGTCCTTGCCCAAGGTCACTAAGCTGCTAAGTGTCAAGGTCTCACTGGCTACAAAGCTCAGGGTCCCAGCCTCATGCTCTGAGGTGTCTCTGTCTGTGAGGAGCCCTTAGCCCAAGCCCAGCCCACCCCAGGGCATTGTTGAGGTTCCCTCTCCCAATCCTGAGCAGCCCCTGTTCTGTTCAGAGGCTCTGGGTGGCCAAGCCCAGGCAGGTAGCCTCCCTCCTTCCCTCCCTCTCCCAGGGACCTCATACCTGCACTTGAGAGTATAGATGTTGCCGACGAACTTAACCAGTGACGTCTGGGGGGGACGGGGCACCAGGGAGGGGACTGGCCGGACCCGGGGTGGGGGTTGCCGCACCTCCTCCAGCTTCTGCTGCAGGTCATTGGCTTCCTCGCCCCCCCTGGCCGCAGAGGTATCTGCAGGGCGGGCTTGTCGGCGCTCAAATTCTGAGTTGGGGTGGAGGGGAGAGGGATAGGAGATAAGCTGGAGGGCAAGGCCCCTGGGGGAGGTTTCTGCCTTCAGCAAATAATGGGCAATTACTGTGGGGATTTGTAAGATGGGCCAGCTGGTGCCTGGATGCTGCCTGGCCCTGGTGACAGGTGGGATGGCAGATGGATAAGTGAATGGGTGAGCAACTGAGGAAGTGACTCCAGGGCAGATGCACAGTAGAAAACCTGGGGGAACAGTGGGTGGACCCTGCCGGTGTCCAACACCCTCATGACCCTCTGCCCCCAACACTCACTGTTGATGTTCTGTCGCTGGTGCTCCTCAGCTTTCACAGTGCCCGGTGGGCTGGCTGCCAAAGGCCGATCACCACTGTCAGCTGCCCGGCCCGCTTCCGGCCCTGGCTCACCCCCAGCACTGCGGCCCACCACGGACAGGCCCCCAGGTGCCAGCCCCAGGGGAGGCCGCTTGTCGCTCTCACGGCCATGGCCAGAGCTGCGGAACTTCTTGGTGAAGGGGCGGCCACCCTGGATGTAGCTGCGGTAGGCGCCCACCTTCTGGGGCCGGTGCTTGATCCACTCGCTCAGCGTCTCGATGGGTGAGCCATTCACGCACCACTCAGTCACACCGAACTGCCGCAGGTGCGCCCGAGCATGGCTGGCCAGGGCCTTGCGGTTTTCGAAGTAAAGGCCACACAGCTCACAGCAGGCCTCAGTGGCTGCAGACAGAGGGGGCACTGCTGAGCCCCAGTCCCAAGGGAGCAAGGGTACCCAAAAGTCGCAGCCCAGGTTCGGAGCCAGTCCCGCCTCCCACTGGGGCCTTGACCCCTGCTAAGGGTGGGCATGCGTTTGGCAGTGCCCAGCCCTGCAGGCCCCAGCAGATGCCCTCCCAAGACCCTGCCACCCACTGCTTACAGGAGTGGGAGGTCTTCTCATGAAGGGTCTTTGCCTTGAAGGGCAGTTCAGTCTGGATGTAGGTCTTGGCCTTGACCTCTGCAGGGAGGAGGCGGTCCTCCTGCAGGGGCCGCTTGGCTGCCACTGAGCCCAGGTAGCTGGTAGCTGAGGGCTTGGCACCAGTGATGGGTGCCAAGCTGAGCTCACGGGGTACCTGGGCCAGCCCAGCTCCTGGTTTGCCTGGCCGGCCAGCCATGGGCACCAGTGGCAGGAGGGGCTGCACCGACCCAGGAGCCGCTGTGGGGGGCCCATCCTCAATCAAGGCAGGGGCCAGGTCTCCAGCTGGAGGCTCCTTCTTGATGAGGCACGACTTGGACTTCTTCTTAAGGATCTCCCGAAGTGTGTCGATGGGCGAACCATTGACAGACCACTCAGTCACACCCATCTGTCGCAGGTGGGAGCGTGCATGGCTGGATAGGCCCTTGCGGTTCTCAAAGAACTCACCACAGAACTCGCAGCGGATGTCACGCACTGGCTCTGCCCGTGATGCTGCAGAGGGTTTGGAAAGAGGGGAAAAGAGGGAGGTGACTAATGGCAGAAAGCCTCCAAACTCAAGGCCAGTGTTAATTGCCCTGCTGACCCATCCATGCAACCCCATACCAGAATGACCTGTTCCCTCATCTTCCTCCAGTGGCCCTTGTTTACATCTAGTCTTTCTGCTTGTTTTTTTTTATTTTTTATCCTCACCCGAGGACATTTTTCCATTTTTTTGTTCAGGTAGAGTGGGAGGGAGAGAGAGGAACAGAGAGAGAGAGAGAAACAGCGACGTGAAAGGGACACATCGAGTGGCTGCCACCCACACGACCAACCAGGGCCGGGGACATGCCCTTAGTGGGAACCGAACCCGGGTCCCTCTGGACCGCAGGCTGACGCTCTAACCGCTGAGCCAAACTGGCCAGGGCTTTCTGGTTTTGTAACCTCAAAGTCTAGTTGGTTTCCAGAAGACTCCCTGTGACATGGTTACGTGCTAAGGAGCAAGCACTCCCTTGATCCAGGGCTCAGATGCCAGGGTGACTATGACCCCATGTGATGCTAGATAAGCCATTTGCTCCCTGAGCCTCAGTTTCCTCCTCTCCTCTGCAAAGTGGAGATGAAAACTTCCATCTCCTAGTGTTACTGGGATGGCCTAAAGCGGGAGCAGTTCAGAGCACATGACACCAAACAGCACCAAGCAGCACATGAATGCTAAGGCCTAAGGCTTGGCCATCCTCATCTGCTGGGCATCAGCCAATCTGACAGTGCAAGAGGGAAATGACTGACAGAGACATTACAGCTACTGCAAACACAGAGCTTTTTTTTTTTTTTTTAACGTGGCACCTTGCTAAGTGCTTTATATCACTTCAGAAAACCATACAGAGTGGGGACCATGCTGATCTCCATCCTCCAAAAGAGGAAACTTGCCCAAGGTCATATATTGCTAGTACGGGGTAGCTGAGATCCTAACCTGAACCTGACTCCCACTTAGTGACCACAGATGTCAGAAAGACAGTTTAGACACCAACTTCTGGTGGTTCTCTACTCCTGCCCATGGCAGACATTACTAATTGATCGCTGCAATCTTTCTCCCTGGGAATCTGGTTGGTAGCCACTAACAAATCAATTGAAGATGACACAAGAAATAGAATCATTTTGCCATCATTGAATGTATGAATGGAGAGTCAAATAGCAGTTCAGTTGGGGTTCAGCATAGCAGGACCATACAGGTAGCCCCTAATCTTCTGGAACTGTGTATCCTCCCTTCCAGTTCAACCCTAGGCCTTTTGGGTACCTGGAGGGCAAGGGGGAGGTAATTCCCCACCTGACCTGTTTTCCCTACCTCACCCCAGGGTCACACTTACACAGGTTCAGGGGGGCCATGTCTTCCCGTGGCGCCACCCAGGGACCCTCAGACGGGTGCAGGTCCCCATGAAGGGCCCCCGGCAGCATCTCACGTTTGATTTCCACACGCATTTGTTCAGGCTTCAGTTTCTTGGACAGGGAGGATGCGGTCAGGCCTGAGAACATCTTTCGGGCCGTGGGAGGAGGAGAGGCAGTTGGTGAGTGGCCCAGGGGGCTGCCTGGTGGTGGTGGCAACTTCTTGGCCAGGGGCGAGAGGTGAAGGTCTGCAGGGCTGCGGGCTTCCAGGGAGCTGCCAGGACCTCCGCTGCCCACCACCTTGGCCAGGACTTTAGGGCTGGGTCCAGGTGGATTGGGGGGTCCGCTGGGCCGGGACTGGGTCCGTCTCTTGAGGATCTCCCGCAGTGTATCGATGGGTGAGCCATTGACATACCACTCAGTCACACCCATCTGCCGCAAGTGTGAGCGCGCATGGCTGGAAAGACCCTTTCGGTTCTCAAAGAACTCCCCACAGAACTCGCAGCGGATGTCTCGAGCTGGTTCTGGGCCAGAGGCTGCAGCAGGAGAAGAAAGGAGTGGTTAGCACCATGGGTACCATCAGCATTGTCACCTGCGGGTCTCCTGGTCAGCTTGGCAGCAGCACACCCACAGGCTGGGGTAGTGGTGGAGGGCAGGTCAGGGAGCTGAGGACCGGGGTGGGGGCTAGACACCCAGCAGGAGCAAGGGGAAGCTCCAGAGAGCCATGGGCCCTCGGTCCTGGTGGAGAAAAACGGAACCAATATTCCACAGCTCTGCAGGTCCCGACAAGGATTGGGGCAGGAAGGCAGGAAATGGTAGCCTAAATACCATGTGCCATCCAGACCAGGGACAATCACGGGCACCTTCCACACCAACAGGCAGCACCCCACCCTTGGCCTTTATTCTCAGGGAAGGTCACAGCATGGAGATCAAAGGCCAAGAGGGAGTTGACAGCCGACTGCCAACAAGATCTCTGGGCAGAACCAGCCCACTGCCAAGGGCCCCTGTCTACTCCCTGCCCCAAGAGGGAGGGAGTAGGGAGGGGGCTGCGACCCCCCCGGGAGGGGCTCCAGGGCCCGCAGGGAGGAGGGAGGCAGCTGAAGCGAGAACCTACAGAGGTTGAGAGGAGACGGCTCCACATCAGAGGCCCAGAAAATGCCGGCGGCTGTGGCGGCCGAGAGGTCCTGCTTCCCCCATGGGCTGGCCATACCAGCAGCCTTCAGCTTGGCCTTCTTGGCCGGCGGTGGGGGGGGGAGCAAGGAGAGGGCCGCAGAGGCGGGAGGAGGCCGCCCCAGCTGGGCCAGCACGCCGCGCCCGGGTGGGAGGCGATTCTGGACGCCGACCCTCCTGATGAGCCCGTGGAGCACGTCTATGGGGGATCCCTTGGCGTCCGGGTCGCTGACGCCCAGGTGGCGCAGGTGGGCGCGGGCGTGGCTGGACAGGCCCTTGCGGGTCTCAAACCAGGCACCGCACAGCTGGCAGTCCAGCTCTCTGCCCCCGTCACTATCTAAAGCTGCGGAGACAAAACACAGGGGGGGGGTTCACGGCCGCCACCTTGGCCGCCCCTGGGGGACTGAGGTAGGAGGGCCTGGTGTGATTCTTGGTTGCTCAGGCCGTCCGGGGTCCAAGACTTATGTCGCAGATTGATTTTAAGAGGTTCTGGGAAGTGGGAAGTCCTGCTTCCTGTCTTGCCCTCTGGCATCAAGATGAATGTGGAGAGCTCAAGGATATGGGTTAGAGATTGTAACCCACTTCCAGTGGTCTAATCTGATACCCTCGGGCCTTCTTCACTGGGTCCCCCAGCTATGGGAGCTGTGCAGGGTAGGTGGTGGGTACAAAGCAGGGCCCTGCCTGGCTGCCCAGCATCATGCAGCCAAAGGCACACCTGCTCAGGGCCCTGCTCCTGAAAGCACAGCGGACTACGGAAGCAGCCTCATTGGAACCTGAGGTGCCAAATGGGGGGCCCTGTTGGGCAGGGCACCAAGACCCTAGGCTCATTCCTAGGCTCTAGGGGCCACAATGTGTGGAAAGGCCTGATTTCCTAAGAGTCACCCAAGTTAAACCTGCTTACTGAGCCTGAGGGCTTTCTTCCCACACCCTACTTAGCCAGACCCACAGGCAGACTGGACCCGGCACAGTCAGTGGTGCCTCTGCACTGGACTGATGGCCAAGAGCATGTGAAAACAGGGACTGGACCTCCTGTCAGGTTGCCCACTTATCTACCTGCAGGACCTAGGATGCCCCAGGAGAACCCTGGTTCCTTTTACTGCCCTAACCCTCAGGCCCAGATAAGGTGAAAAGCTATCCCTAAGTGGCAGCCACAGACAAGCCTCCAGGGGAAGAATAGCCAAGTAAAGTGGGAGACAAGTAAAAATATGCAGTGTGGCCAGCACAACAGGAGACTCAGCACTGTGATCAACATTCTGACCCAGTTGACCCAGAACACAGGAGCTGCAGTCTCCGTTGCCCCCACCCTGGACCCTATAGCCCAACCTGAGGCCCCCACCCTGCCAGTGCTGGCACCTCCCTCGGCTCCCAGGACCCACACTCACTGAGGTTCAGGGGCCCCTCGTCCTCAGACTGAGGCCACTGTGCCTTTGGGGAGGCCGGCCGGGGGCTCAGGGACAGCTGGGGGCTCTTGTCCTCAGGATTCTTGGGGGTAGGGGAGCCTGCCAGGGCCAGTGGTGCCTTCTTGAGGAGTGGGGAGCTGGGTGGGTGAGCCAGGCCCTTGGCTGAGAAGCCAGGAGGCGACTTGATGGCCTTGTTGACAGCAGGGGCATCCAGGGGCTTGGCCAGGGTGAGCAGGCTCTGTCGGGGGGCCCCAGCGACCACCTCCTTCGGAGAGCTGGACTTCTTAGTCAGGCCCGGAGGCAGCCCGAGGGGCGTGTCAGGCAGGCCCTTCTGCTTCACGAGCTCGTAGAGGAGGTCGATGGGGGCACCGCTGCTCTCGGACTCTGCCACACCCAGCTGCCGCAGGTGGGAGCGTGCATGGCTGGACAGGCCCTTGCGTGTCTCAAAGCAGGCACCGCAGACCTCGCAGGTGGTCAGGCTCTGAGCTGGAGGGCAAGACAGAGGCCAGGAGAGCCAGCTGTGAGACCCCACAGGCCCTGCTCTCCCACTTCTCTTCCCCTGGGTCCCACTCACCCAGGCTCCTTATAAGGGTTTTGCTTCAGTCAACCCCATATGACCCTTAAAATGACCCTAATGAGGTGGGAACTGGCCTATCCAGTTTGCAAATAAGGAAACTGAGTCTCAGAGAGTGGAAGAGTTATGACCAATGGCACAAAGCAGGAGGCAGAGCCCTACAGTGGTCCAGCCAGTGAAATGCCTTTCAGATCTCCAATGTACCACAGTGTCCTGGCAATAGGTTTTCACGCAACTGCTGACCTGCCAGCCTCATGCTTTCCAGAGCTAAGTCCTGGCCACCCTCTGCCATTCAACTCATACCCCAAACACTGGGTTGAAGGCTCCAGCCAGTCTCTGTGGTACCCTGCACCCTCTTCTGCAGAGCCCTTATCCCTGCCTGTCTGCTTCTTTGCCTCTGGCTCCCCAACTTCATGACCCCAAGGACAAGAGCCAGGTCTGTTTTGCATCTTTCACATTCCTGGGGGCCAGCAGAGTTTGTCACTAATCAGTAATGACCTGAGAATCAGCATACAGACAAGACAGTATCATGAGGAAGATCACATAGCTAACTAACAAAGGTCAAAGTCAGCCAATGAACTGGGTCTGAGTGTGAGCCCTTGACAACCATGACCACTGCTTCTCCGGATGCCCCTCCCTCGCCCAGTGAGGGTAAAGCTCAAGGCCATGCATGCCCAGGGCAGCAGCAGCTCAAAAAAGAAGACAGCTGGTATCTCCTTGGTGCTTTGTGGTGCAAAAAGAAAGCTGTGGCCAACCCGGGGCCCCACATTAACCCCCGGGGCCCCACATTAACCCCCAGGCCCAAGAGCTCCCTGTGAGTGTGACCAGCCTGGCCAGCACCACCGCCCTGCCACCTGGGCCACTCACCCTTGAGGTCTGGCAGCTCTTGCTTGCTGCCATGAGAAACCTCTGCAGCCACTTTGCTGCTCAGCCGACTGGCCACCTGCTCCAGGGCCCCAGGAGCAGGTAGGCTCTTCTTGGGGAGCGGAGGGGAGCCCAAGTCCATGGCCACCATGGTGTTTTCTTCAGAACCCAGGCCTGCGAGGTTGGGAAGACAAGCTCAGCCCAGGTAAGGCATGGGCTGTGTACCCCCAAAATAAGGACTGACAGCAAGAAACATGGTGGTGGGTGGAGCCTTATTCCTCATCCTTGGTGCTTGCTATCGCTCTTGGGGGCAGCTCACCCCATGGTAGTTGAGACTCCATCCACAAGCCCCAGAGACAGTATGATGCAGGGATGTCAAGGCTGCTCACTGACAGCAGAGACTGGGAACAACTTTCACCCCATTCTCTGAACACAAAAAGGTTAGGGGACACAGTGCTAGTCTGAGCCTAGACTCCCATCCTAGGAGATCTTAGAGAAAATCTTTCTCTGGGCACAACTTGTGGAGGAGAGCATTTGTCAGTGTTGGGGGGCAGGTGGGGAATGGTCAGAAGGGGAAGTCAGTGAGAGAAGGCCAGGTTCAGAGGCCCGAGAGGCAGTGCAGAGGCGAGGAGCCAAGGACTGGGAGAAGGACTTGTGGGGAATCTCCAACCAGACAAGACAGCTGGGGCTGCAGAGACAACTGGGAGGTCTTGGGCTGGCCTAGTTAGCATAAACTGAGCTCTAAGTGGGATAAGGTGAGAATGAGGATGTAACTGGGGACGAGTGTAAGAATCACATAACTTTGTATAAAGTTTGTGAAGCATCATCCATCACGCCAGTAAGCTTCCCTGGGTTGGGTGTGCACGAGAACAGGGAGTCAAAGGTGCATGTTCATGGTCTAATTTTTCACAAAAAGAGGCCTGAGAGGCCCACTGAGCCCCAAGTCTAGTGCTTAGAGTATGGAGAGGGCTCTGAGGATGAAGCACCAGTGTGTTAGATGGGGCTTTGGAAGAATTCAGTGCTATGATGGGAGCCAGAGGATCCCTACTCAGTCTGAGTCCTATGGAAGCAAGAAGGCAGACAGAGGGGGAAAGTAGAGCCAGGACACCGAGGACTTTGTCAAAGTCTTCGGGTAAAGTGAAGTGGGCGCGTCTGTCAGATGGAACAGGGACCGTGTCAGAGCTGAAGTGACTTGGAGTGGGTTTCCGCGCCAGAGAAACCAGAACTCTGGCAAGGAGCGCTCTCGGGGCTCCAAGAGGAGCAAAGGGCATCTGTCACACGGGGCGAGGGACCCACAGGGTGGCGGTGGAGATTGTTTCTGAACCTGAGAGCGGCGACAGGAGGCCTGGGACCGCGCGCGACTGGAGAGGCTGGGGGGAGGGGCACTCCCAGAGACTGGACCGTGGGCGTCGGGGGCGGGAAAGGGCAGACAGGACGCCAACTTTGCCCTCCCCTAACCCTCCCCGGCTCAGGCTCTTACCCGGCGCGGGTGCGGGCGCAGGCCCGGGCCCCGGCTCCGACTCGGCCTTGGGCCCGTCCCGCGGTGGCGGCGGCGGTGGTGGGGGTGGGGTCAGTGGCGGCGGAGCTGGGAGAGCCCCGGGGCCCGGGCTTGGGGGGCTGGGCGGCGGCGCCCCCGCGGGCGCGCGCTCCCGGACGCCCCCTGCGCGCGGCCCCGCAGCCGCCTTGCTCTCCGCTTTTGTCACTCGGCACTGGGCGGTGGAGGCGGCCATCTTGGCTCCGGCGCACGCGGGGCGGCCGCCCCAGGCAGGAGCAGTGGAGCTCCGAGCGCCGCCACCGATCCCTCTCCGCTCCGCCCCTCGGTGTGCACCCAGGGCGGCCGGCCGAACGCCGAGCGCCGAGCGCCAGGAGCGAAATCATCGTCCCTACCCGCGCCGTGGCTCACGGATGCACGCAAGCGGTGCCCCTAGCGGCTGCCAACACCCGCCCCAAACCCGGCAGCCCTAAGGCTAGGATGGGAAGCCTCCAGCCACACGCATTCACCTTAACAGCCTCCAGGTTCCCAGACACCGGAGAGGACCTAGGACCTACCCTGGGACCTGCTCCATTCCCTTCTCTGGAAGTCTCCCCTCTGGGTCGAGGATCCTGGAAGATCCCTGATTCCCAACCGCGAGGATCCCCCCAACATCATCCTGACCGCACTGTTGCGCAATCCTACAGAACTTCCCACATGGCTGGCACCACATTTTAAGCAAAACCTGTTTCTCTCTAACACCAAGCAGATTGTCCCCAGCTGTTCCTTGACAGCTGGGTGGGACCAGAATCTGACCGTTGCCCCGCCCCCAACTTGGCACCCGCCCCCTAAAGCCCACCTAGGGAGAGGTGGGAGAGGCTTTTAAGGACAGCTTTGTAGGGCTAGCGCCCAGACATAGCCCTAATCTTGGACATTCTTCCTCAAAGCAAGGCTCCCAGGATTTTCTTAACCATTCCTTAACTGCCCACCACCCCCAACCCTTCATTGAACGACTGATCTAGCTCACCCTCACAAGGACAAGGCCAGGGCAGTGCTGGGCTGCTTCCTCACACTCTGATGGTTGGCTAGGTTCCTCAGCACTAACTAGGAGGCTGGCACACTGGTCTCCTGGTGGAAACAGCTTAGCCAAAGCTCAACCTGGCTGCTGGGTGTGTAAGAGTTGTGAGAATGACAAAGAAAGGGACAGGGCTAGAGTCTACGAACTGCCAGCTGTGCCTCCAAGCCACCACAAACCTAGCTAGGTGTGTGAGCTGAGTGCCCAGGGGGCAGTCTCCAGCAAAGGCAAGAAGCCTGAGGTCAGGTCCCCACTCTATCTCTCCCCAAAATGTGACCTCAACCTGTCACTATCATCTCTCTGTGCCTCAGTCAGCTCTTTGTCCAAGGAGAAGAGAGGGCTTTGATAGCCCTCCCCTCCCTTTTGGGGACCCTCAAGTGCCCGTCACTGGTAAGGGGGCTTGAAGATGGGAACAGCATATCTCAGAATATCGATCGAGGTAGGACTCTGGAAGCTCCAGACAGGAGAAACAAAGGAAACCTCAGCCCCAAGCAGCCCCTGGACACCCCACCCCTCCCCATGTTCAGGTACCTTCTCCATTCCCCAAAGCCCACCTACTCCTCACTGCAGTTCTCTGTCTCGAGGTCCGGTAAAGGCTTCTAAAAGTCATGTTCCACAAGGCTGTGTCCCTCCATGATGCCCAGCACCAGGCCAAAATATTACTTCTGCATTTCCCAAGCCATCTCACTACACAGACCACCAAACATGGTGTTCAGAAGTCTAGCTCTGCAGCTTTGTGGCTATGGCAAAGCAGATAACCCGGTTTCCTTATCTGTAAAACAGGAACACAACAATCCTTAGCCCCACGGAATTGCTTTGTGGCATACATGAGATGAAACCTTAGTACACAGCAAGCACTCAATTATGGGAGCGATTATCACTGCTGCTGGACAAATTAGGCACCACTGAAAATCTAGAGTACAGATTCTAGATCCACACTGCTCAATAGGATCAGACAAACCCTGTACATTTCGAGTGCTCAATAGTCATATGTGACCACTGGTGACCTTGTAGGACAGTACACATTTCCATCATCTCAGAAAGTTCTACCAAATGGCACCGCTCTAGATAGAAGATGTTATTAAGAGCAGGGATCTGGAGTCTGACCTGCCTGAGGTTTCAAATCCAAGCTCCACCACTTCTGGCTGTGCGACCTTGGGTAAGTTAATTAAGCTCTCTGTGCCTCAGTTTCCTCATCTGTAAAATGGGGTTCATCATACCACCCAATAGGGTTGTCATGAGGATGTATATGAATTTTTGTTTGTAAAGTGCTTAGAACAGTATCTGGCTCCTAGTAAGAGCTCAGTAAGCATGTTAAAATCATTGTTGGGGAAGCGGTGTGGAACTGGATCCAGGAGGAGCTCTGGGCCAGCCCAAGTAAAACACAAGCAACCTGAAAGTGGTAGGGTGGTTGTGGAGTTGCCAACATACTTTGTAGAGTAACTTGAAACACTTTTAGGAAAGGGGAGTGGCTGCCCCCCTCCCATCTCTCCAGGCTCCTGGGAAGGGTCAGGGCTCCACATGGGCCCACCTTCTCTCCCCTTACCATCTCCGTAGGCTGACCCAGGGTCCTCAGCCCAGGTGGGTGGGAAGGGCACTGTGAGAGGAAAGCGGGGCCTGCGGGTGGACAGATAGCCACCAGGCATCCCCCCAGGCTCATGGCCAAGGGGGCTGGAGGGCCTCTCAGCAGCCGAGGTGGCCAGCAGCTCCTGTAGGATGTTGATGGGTGAGACGGTGAGCTCCCAGTTAGTGATGCCAAAGTCACGCAGGTGGGCCCGGGCGTGGCTAGAAAGACCAGCCCTCGTGTCAAAGCCGGCCCCGCAGAAGTCACAGCGCATCAGGCTGAAGGTGCCAGGGTCAAAGTTAGCCACTGTGGAAAGAGAGAGGACATGGACTGCCTGGGTGGGAAAGAGGGGATAACTCTCCAGCCCCAGCCCTCTCTTCTCTGAGGACTGCTTACCCTCCGAAGATCACACACCTGGTGCTGTTCCTCACCTGGATGCCTCCCTTCCCCTTCACCCATCGTGCTCCTGCTTGGGTCAGCTTCTGAGTCCCCCCAACACTCCCCCCAACTCTAAGAAGCCTTCTCTCCTGTGGTACCACCCTCAACAGCTCTTAGCATCAGGGACCCCACCCTCAAATACTTCTCCAGTTGTGGATTTGCAATCATTTGGGTGAGTGATCAATTAAGACCCTTCTCGTGTCTAGAGCTCATATTCCCAGAGCTTCCCCTATCACAGCCTCAGTCACACTTATCATAACTGCCTGATTTTGGGGCTGTCCGCCCATGTCCCTCACCCTCAGTGCACATGCGCGCGCGCAAACACACACACACACACACACACACACACTCAAACACCATACCAGCACTTCCCAAAGTGGTCTCCATGTCTGCCAGCATTAGAACCACCCAGGGTACTCATGTTGGAGAAAAACCTCTGGAATCAGAACCTTGGTGCCTGGGACTCTGCATACCTCACAGGCAGCCCCAGGGATTCTGAAACCAGCCAGGGTCCCATCATTGCTGTGACAAGGCAAACTCCAGGAGAGTGTTTCATTCACTGCCATCGCCCCAATGCTCAAAACAGTGGGGACCTCACTCAGTAAATATTTGTCAAATGAAGAAACCAATGAAATCCCTGCCTGGGACTGACTCCTCTGCCTATACTCCTTCCTCTAGCTGCTGGAAGGGTCAGAGCATGGGGATATCCTCACACCTCCACCGAAGTGGTTGCCTTTGCTGCGGCTCCCAGATCTTTCCAGAGGGGAGGCCCCAACTTCACCCAGCTTGGTACTATGGGAGGATTTACAGTGAGGGTTGTTGGTTGGTTCAGACTCGGCTGCCCAGCTGTGTGTCTCGGGGGCCTCAGAGGGAGGCAGGTGCTGGAGTGAAGCCCCCCTACCTTTTTTCTTCTTCTTCTGAAAGGAGAACCTGCGTTCGATGGCCTTCACCTCCTCAGCAGAGATGAAATGCCGAACATTGTAGCTGACGCCCACACGGTTTAGATGGCCCCGCACGTGGTTGGCCAGGCCGATGCCATTGTGGAAGCGATCAGGGCAGTAGGGGCACTTCCGGTCCTCATGCTTCAGTGCCACTGCTGGGTCCCCATCCAGGATTGTGTCCAGCCCCAACGAGCCACCCAGTGGTGCATCCAGGAGCAGGAAGTCCAAGGGGTGTGTGCCCCCCAGCCCCAGCTCCTCGGGCTGCAGCCTTGGGGGTGCCCTAGCTGCCACAGCCAGGACCTGAGACCTCAACTTGGCCACCAGCACAACTGGCACCATCCCAAGGAGCTGCTGATGCTGTGCTGGTGAGGCCTTGGCTGCCCGCAGGGCTTCTCGGAAAGTCCGCTTCAGCTCCAGGGCTGGTTCTGGGATGAGGCCAGGGACAGCAAGGGATGGAAAGACCCCATTTTCCGAGAAAAAGTCCATTTCCGAGGCCAGTTGTATACCCTCCTCTTCCTCTTCACTCCAGGGGTGCCTCTGGTCCCCCAGTTGGGCTGGGAGCCCCTGCAGATGGACAGCATTTTTGCTTCTACAGGGCTGTAAGGAATACGGAGTGGATGCTAGTGGTGAGTGAAAGGCTGACCTTCCCAGGGTCGTCTGGCTCACACTGTGCGGTAGTGGCTTTGACAGTGGGAAATCCCTTGTGCCAAGCTGCTGGCAGCCTGGGCCAAAGGCCAGGCTGGGGTCATATCCAGTAGGGTTCTTCCGCCATGTAGGGGCCAAGAATGGCTCAGCGATGCCAAAGTAGTCCTCAGCAGCTTCAGGGAAACGGGCATACATACCCTGGCTGGTGCCAGGCTGGCTGGAAGGGTCCTCCTCAAATGCCTCAACATCCTCCTCCCACTGGGGACGGGTGTGCACAAGACTCACATGCTCCCTGAGCAGGCTCTCGCTGGGTGCTGGGAAGCCACAGAAAATGCAAGCATTGAGGCCTGAGGAGGCTCCATAGCTGAGGCCTGAGGGCTGATAGCTGAGGGAAGTGGCATCGGGGCCTGGGCTGCCACCCCCAAAGGGCTCCTTGGCAGCCTGGTCTGGTGACTCACGCACGTGCAGCTTGGCATGCTGCACAAAGGCTTTGGAGGAACTGGTGCCAAAGACGCACTTGGAGCATTGCAGCCGTGCCTCCCGGCCCTCATCATTTGGGATCCGCTTCAGCTTCTGGATTTCTTCGAGGATCTTCTCCCTGGAGGCCTGGTGCAGCTGCCGGTGCTGCTCCAGGGCACAGGGATCCGTGAAGGCCCAGCCACACTCACTACAGGCCAGTGAGGCCAAGTTAGCCAGGGGCTCCTGGCCTGGGGCTCGACGATGCTGATTCATGTGCTCCAGAAGATGCTCCTTCTGCTTGAAGTAGATGCTGCACTCCACACATGGGAACACAGTTGTGTCTGTGTCCTCATCCTCATCCTCATCCGGGCTGGCCACCCCCTCAGCCACTTCCTGTAGCAGCTCACACAGGTAGGGACCGGTCCGGACGCGGGGCAGCAGTGGCTGCAGTCGCTCCACAGATGCCTCCGAGTTCACCGTCCAGGTTTGAGTGGCCACTTCCGTGGCTGACCTAGGCAGGCACCAGTCCACAGTTGGCTGGGCCAGACCCTCCAGGTCTGTCAAGTGCTCTCTGGTGCCTACCTCCACATCCAAAGTCTTTGTGGTATCCTCTACAGGTACCAGTACTGTCCTGAAGGAGGTGAGAGGCGGCGGTGGGGGTGGCAGGTCCAGGGGCAGCCCTGCATTCTGGGGTAGGGATTGCTCATCTGCACCTTGGAGCCAGTTGAACCTGGAGTGGCCCTGGGGTGACTTCTCCAAGAGCTTCGGTTCACCCTGGTGGTTCAAGAACCTTCTAGAGCCCTCGAGCTCACTGTGGGGCTTCACAGTTCTCATAGTGACTGAGTCCTCGAACCTCTGCTCAGATGGGATGCCCTCCCCAGCTTCCTGAACCAGGGGGTGCTCCCAGAGCCCCCGGCCATCAGGGAGGCCAGAGAAGTGGCCCAGGAGTTGGGGTGGTGGGGAGCCTGTCCGGAAGTCCAGGCTGCCTCCATCCCAGCAGCTGCAAGGAAGTGCCAATGGGGACAGGTTAGCCATGGGCTTCAGTTTCCCTTCCTTGGGCAGGGGAGAGGGGTCCTCCCAGTAGTCTGAGATAGGCCAAGACTCAGCCCAAGAGCGACCTCAGAGTGGCCAGGAGTGTGGGGATGAGGGTGGGGAGTCAGGGGAGTACATGTAGACTGTTCTAGAGCTGTTGGGCCAAAGGCCAGATTCAGCTCCCAGGATGCACCTGTGCATATAGATATAGATATAGCCTAGCCCCGTTGCATAGTAGGGGAGTATGTGGAGACCACATAGGGGTCAAAGGTGCGCTCCTAAGCCTGATGACACAGTCAACTCTCATCTGTCCCCCAGGAAGGCCCAAGGCTTTGACTCATGGCCCCAGGCTGCTTTTGTATTAGTCCTCCTCGAACTGGGGTGACTTAGTTTATTTAGTTTCACCTTTCCAGAAAATTTGCTGAAACTCTGTGGCATGAACTACTCCAGGGATGTAGCTCCCCCTGCCACTCCCACTCCACACATGGCATCTCCCCTCTTGGAAGGGCAGAGTCAGGAAGGGTGCAAAGTCCTCACTCAGCCTCTGGCCCCAGTGACCATGACCTCCTTTGGGGGAGGGGGAAGGTGAGGCCACCTCACTGAGCCTCAGTTTTCCAGTCCTAAAAATGGGACGAGTCCCAAGAACCAGGAACTTCCATGCCCTTATGCAACATCTAAGGAGCTCTCTCATATCCATAATAAAAGAAAACTTAACACATGACAGGTGCTTATTTAAATGATCCTAACCACAGCCCTTCAACAGGGGATCATGACCACGTGAAGTGAGGGTGAAGATGACACAACTCAGTGTTGGAGAAACCTTCACTTGGCCCGAGCCTGGCTCCCAGTCAGCCCATGACTAATGTGGATTCTTACTATGACTGTTTTTGATCCATCTCCCTCATTTTCAAGATCCTGCCTCCACAAGGGGCTGTTGACCACACCGAGGGGCCAGCCAGAAATCACAGGGTCACCTCTCTAAGCCCCATCAGTGACATAAGATATTAACAGAACCATTCCCCCAGGGCTATGGAAAAAATTCAGTGGGGTAAACCTGTCCAAGAGCCCAGCATACAGTAAATACTCAATAACAGAGAGCTATTCTTAATCCTGATATGACTATTACTTATTGGCACCCACCAAGCCTTTAAATAAAGGGTTACTGCTGTCAGCTTGGCTGTTGATTTCTTTTCCTACCCAACATCCCTTAGATCCTCAAGACAAGTTGGTGAGATGCATCTTAGGGACTTTACAGATGAGGAAACTGAGTCTCAGAGAGGCCTGGCATCATTCTAACGGTCACCTGGCAGAGACAGGACTCCAAGGGTCCAATCTCCAGGTGCCTGCCCCTCTGGCTCTGCTCCTGGCAGGAATAATGAGAGTTGACTGTCTGTGTTCATCCCAGTCTCCCCACCCCACCCCCTGCACATGCCCAGGGGCTTGCCTGCTGGAAGTCACCTTTTCCTGCCTGGTCTCCTGATTCCCTCCAGTCCCCTTCTCACTCCCGGGGCTTCTCTCAGGCCTGGGTACATCCTGCTTGCCCCCCTACCCTCCCTGAGGTCAGGGCCAGCGTGGCACTCACCAGCTGCTGATCCGATGGGTGGCGGAGGTGGCACGGGGGAGGGCTTCGCTGAGGCCGGGATGGGGCTGCCCGTCTGCAACAGAGAGGGGAGACCCTGAGGGGCTTGGGTCCCCCTGGCCGGAGCCCTTTGCACCCCAACTCTGGAAGCCCTACCGGGCACCTTGCAAGGGCCCGGCTCCCCAACCCTCTCCCCTGAGAGGCCTTTGGCCTCTACAATCCTGAGCCCTGAAAGGGGTTTCCTTGGAGGAATCCCCTTAGCTCTCCTGTGGGATGCCAGGGGCTTGCTGCCTTCTATGGTCCTCTGCTCATCCCTGCTAGGCAGCCAGGGTGATTTTTTAAAGTCACACACTGGTAAAAACTCACCTGGCTCCACATACCTACAATAAAAGCCAGATCTCAAACCACCTTCTACAAGGGCCTGTGATGTCAGACCTCTGCAGGTCTCTTTAGCCTCACCTCCCTCTCACCCCTCATTCAATCCACCCAACTGCTCCTGAAGCCTCAAGCCCTGCTAACTCTTTCCCTCGGCTTGAAGAGTCCTTCCCTAGCCACCTGCTAAAGTGAATTCCTATGATTTTCTCTCTTGTCATCTATTTCATTTTTCTTAGCACTCTCTGAAACTGTATGCTTATGTCCTCTGCTATGTCCTCTGAAACTGCATGCCTATGTCCTCTGCTAGCATGTAAGCGCCCCCAAGGGCAGGGACCTTCTCAGCCTCATTCACTGTAGCACCCAGCAACTGGCATACAACAGGTGCTCAAACAATACTAGCCAGATGATGAGTGAGGATCCTTCTAGCCTGAGCTATGGAGATCCCATCCCTAACTTCCAGACCCCCTTTCAGACCTACATCCTAGAATCAAATCCCCTCCTGGGACCCCTCACACAGATAGAGCCAACTCTCCATTATCCGCCTGTGGAGCCAATGCATGGAGTGATCTGGTCTGCACCTCTTCTACTCACCACCCCTGTCTGACAACATGCCAATTGGGGCTCCCACCAATGGCCCGGGCCATGGTTAGCACACTGGAGGAACTTGCACCCCATCCAGAGCCCAACAGATGTAATTGCTGAATTAGTATCAATTTGAAGGGCCAGAAAGAGGACTAGTACTGGGGCTCATCTTTATCCAACTCCCCACCATCAAATTTGCTCAGGACAGTGAGAGCTGACTGTCAGGAACCCAAGTAAAGTATGGGAAGGATGAGTAGAGGGGTCAGAAAGTTGTGATCACTGCTGAGGGTCTTTGTGCTGAGCGTGGGAGAAGGGCTATGACTATTGTGCAGCTTTCCAGGGGTGAGGATGCTAATGGAGGTATAGAAATTCATTGTACAGAGCAGTTTATCACCCTTGGTGCTATTCATATTTGGGGCCAGTTATTCTTTTGTGGGGGCTGCTCTATGCATTGTAGGATGTTGATTGAACAGTATCCCTGGTCTCTACCCATGAGATGCCGGTAATCTCTGCCCCAACCCCTGCGGTAATGACAACCAAATATGTCTCCAGATATGGCCGAACTGTCCCCTGGGGCCAGAATCGCTCCTCTGAGAACCCCTGGAGTAGACAGATGAGGAACAGAGCCAGGCCAGGGGTATGCTTGGATGCAAGGGCCAGTGTCAGGGTGGGAAAATGGGATGGGTGGGATGTTGGAAACGGTGTGATAGTTGGGAAAGCCAGACCTGAACCAGCCAAGGGATCAAGATCACAAGTGTCAGAGGTATGAGCTTTTCAAGATGGGGCAACCAGTTCACTGGCAGCAGGCTCAAGCACAGCCACCAGTCTCAGGGTCCAGGCGTCCTGCTTCTGATATTCTGGGACCTCAAGCTCCTGAGATTCTAGGCGTCCCAGATTTGATGATTCTGCGATTGCCGTTGTCTAAGAATGCCATGAGCCAGGGGGCTGCATTGGCCTCTTTGAGAAGCTCCAGTGAGGTTCCTATTTTTAGTGGCAGTGACTTTGAAGGAAGCAGGCCAGGCAGAGCCCCATATCGGAGACATCTGGAGGCCAGGAGCCCACCCAGCCAGTAGGGATCCAGCAGTCCCTGTAGGTCAGACGAGGCACCCAGGACACAGCCATCAGCAGTCACCATGCCAAGGGACCCTCATGGACTCCCGCCTTCTGGGATCCCCAAGAGGTTTGAAAAGGAGAAAGGGAATACATGAAGAGTGTCCATGAGTAGCTTGAATCCCAAGCCAGGCAGCATGGCAGAGTGGCCAAGAATCTAGTCTTTGGAGTCAGACAGATCCTAGTTAAAGGCCCAGTGATGACCAGAAGGGCATGCCTTTCCCACTCCAAGCCTCAGTTTCCTCCTCTGTATAGTGGGCATAGCCACCCACCCAGTTTCACACAGCAGGCGACTGGTGCCAAGGAGAGCACAGTAAATGTTCCATCCACAGAGGCAGCAGTAGTGGGGAAGGAAGGAGGTAGGAATGCCTAGGGGGTTCGGGCTGGCTCGGAGATATCCCAGTTTGGAAGCTGGAAGCTGGCCCCAGAGCCTCAGGCCCCTGCTCAAACCATGCTCGGATTTACTCTCCAGCCTGAGGCTCCACAAGGGCAGATGCATTGTTCATCCCCTTGCCCCCTGGTCTCAATACCAGTATGCACCAAACTCTTCATCAATCCATTTGGACCATCTTAGCCCCCCAAACCTTGGCTGCACCTTGGAGGCCAACCAGAGAAACCAAACATTGGTGAGTAGCTGCAGGGAAGTTGGGGGGCTCCAGGCCAACAGCCATACTAGAGGACAGAGGAGGCAGTGGACGGACACATCTATATCCAGGTGGAGAAGTTTGGAGGTAGCCATTCCCGGGGTGGGGCTGGGTGAGGGCCCAGGTTTTAGAGTGGAACAGCAGCCTCAGTAACTATTCCTATTTATAGACATCACAAGACTCCTGGGGCAGGTGCCCGTGCTAGGGAAGAGGGGTAAAGTAGGCTGCGAAGGCAGCAGGGGATGGGGGGGAACAACATGTCCAAAGCCCAGGTCCTCCTCCAAATTCCAGGCTGAGACCCCACTTAAAGCCATCCCCAGCAGCCACATTCCCCTCCTCCCCAGGCACATGCACTTGATCCTGGTTAATTCCCTGGGTGGACTGAGGACACACCTACCTACTTACCTGGGGCTTTTGCCAGGTAGAGAGGAAGCACCCAATACCTCAGAACCAGACCGAGAAAGGACCCCAGGACCCCAGAGCCTGTTCCCTGGGGCTCCCACAGTCCAGGTCCTGAGCCTGCTCTACAGGGAAGTTGGGGAGCACTGTGGCCTGGGATGGAGTCCCGCCTCTCTCTCAGCCTCTGTTACTAAGGGTTTGGAAAAGGAGATTGCTAAGATTCCCTGAGCTCTGATACCCTGCAGGTCTCACTCTGCCATCCACCTGCATAATACCTGCAGGTGCCACCAGTCACCTCCATGCCATTGCACATATGGAATCCACTGCCTAACTCACTGTTCCTCATCCTCAACTCCTGGATGTCCCCCCAGGCTGGGCCAGACTGGGCTTTCCCCAGCAACTGTGTCATAGCATCTGGTGGTTGATCTTTCTCCCTGATCCTAGATGGCATGGTCCTTGAGGGTGAGGATGGTGTGTGTGCTTGGTCACTGGCTGAACCCCAGTGCCCAGCCTGAGAAGGTGCTCTGTAAATAACTAAGCATCATGAGCATTGCTAAGGGTGAGTGGGGGCACCTGCCTTGATGGATGATGAGGTTAAGGATGAGGGCTGTCAAGCCAGGTTACTGACTAGCTTTATGGCCTTCGGCAACTTAAACCCTTAGGGTCTGTTTCCCTATCTCTAACATGGGATAATAATAACAGAGGCTACTCCACAGGGTTCTTTTGAGAATGATATAAGATGATCACATAAAGGGCTTGACATGTAGGAAACCCCCAACTGAGTGCTTGCAAATTCCTGGAAACCAAGGTCTTCAGGGCAGGCCAAAGAGATGAAGACAGATGTGTCTGGTGCATCAGCCTGTGCTGCCCCCACCACTCTCCAGCCATGCCAGGCTCCTCCTTACCACAGGGCCTTTACACCGGCCATCCCTTCCACCTGGCTTGCCCTTTCCACCATTCATTCCAAGCTCCACTCAAATTCCACCCCCTCAAAAAGGCTTCCCCAGGTCCCCCAGGCACAGGCCTGGAACTCTATTGAATACTTTCACAGCATCTGTCACTACCTGTCCTTATTTATTTGATTGCTTGTTGTCTCCCCTACTAGAATGTCAGGCCCCTGAGGGCTAGGACTTGTGCCTCTTTTGTTTATGGCTGTATCCCTAGCCTAGAACAGAGACTGGCACACAGTAGGTGCTCAGTATTTAATGAATAACTAATCTTAAGGTTGGGACAGCATGAGATCCCCTTTTGCTGGGTAAACTGAGGCACAAAGGGGTGGATGGCATCCCTGACTATCCAATCTCTCCCAGCCACTAGAGGGCACAAGCTGTTTTGGCTCATGGCTCAGGAGCAGGACTCGCCAAGACAGTACAGCAAGAGAGAGCCAGGATAGATTGTTCCATGGGGAATAAGTGGGCTCAGGGCAGGGAGCTTGGAGTTCTAAGCTGGGCACCTGGACACAAGGACCCAATTAGTGAGCTCAGAGGAGGGAGCCAGGCAGATATGAGTTTAAGTCCAGTTCCTTGCCATCCACTGTGGGTCCTTCATCAGGTCATTGGCTTGCAGGGCCTCTGTTTTAACAACTGTAAAATGCAAAGCTAAGCAGAGTGCAAAAAGAAGGCTCTGGACCCAAGAATAATCTGTATCCCAACTCAGCCTCTGCTGGGCTGGGTGACCTAGCCCTCTTTGAGCCTTGGGAACTAGGCTGGATGCTACCCCAGGGCCACAGGGCCCACTTTCTTACCAGAAATGCCACCTCTGCCATCCAGAACGTCTCGGGGGCCCTCCTTGGTGACAGGCAGGTAATGTGTGGATCGGAAGATGCCACCATCCCCCTCAGCTGCCTCAGCCCCACCTTCGATGTCCTCCCTCGGCGCTGGGCCAGGCAGTCTTTCAGGGCCTCGAGGACGGTCTGGGGCAGCCAGGCCGCCTGCCAGGGGTCCATCCATTGATGCTCTCTGCTTGGATCCACTCAGCTGCCAGAATGGCTCAGTGAGGCATTGTAGATCTGGGGGCAGAGAGCCACGTGCTTAGGGGAGGTAGGAAAGGGATTCTGCCTTAGTTTCTCCTTCCTTGAAGCCCCAGTCTTCACCCTTGGAGCCCAGTACCTCAGTTTACCTCCCAGCCCAGGTAAGCTAAATAAATTGTGCTGAGTACAGAGAACTCCTGTCCTGTCCACCATGTACAGAGAACACCTCTTTTACATAGATCCTGTGCTGCCTCAGTTTACCTATTTACACATGCACACTCAGCCACCTTGTTTTATTCCAGCATTAATCCTATCACTTCTCACAGATGCTTCTCTTTTGCACCTTCCCCAGTTGTGTCCTCACTTCCATGCACACATATACCCTATGCTCATGCCTTGGCATGCAAGCCAGCCACTTCTACACTCTGATTTTATAACCTGTCTAAAGTGCCCCCATTATTACCCCTGCACTTTTCTCACACTCCAGCCCTCCCCCAATACAATCTTAGGGTTCTCTAGCATTAATACCTTCACCCTCACAACAGTCTCAAGATTATCCCCTTTGCTTTCCCCCAACATTACCCCTCATGCACACCCCAGCCTGGGTTCCTCCATTCCACCCTCCCAAGGTCTCTCTAGTCTGCAGGCAATAGGGATGGATGGGCTCCTGGTCCAGAAATGAGGACCCTGAGTAGGCCACAAGGGTGGGGGCTGTCCTCTACACCTATAAATACCTTCAAGGTAACGGCAGAAAGTGAAGGGCAGGAATGAGGCGCCCTCCCTGGGGAGATGGTGGGGAGGCCGGGCCCAGGCAACCGGGGCGGGGCCGGGGTTCCAGGCCTGACTGCAGGCGCTGCCCTGGGGGCCTGGGGGCTCCCAAGGGGCCCGTCCGTGGACCGGCAGACGTGGCGGGGGTCCCTGCCCAGGCCTGGAGGAAGCACCTGCGGGTGCTCACCGAGTGGGCAATGCCGGCGGGGAACCGGCGGGACCGCAACTTCGGAGCACTTTGGCAGCGTGGGTAAGGGGGCTCCAGCCTAGACGCCCCCCGGGAGTCGCAGGGGTGGGAGTGGCACCGCGCCAGCGCACCCCTCGGGGTACCAAGGTCCAGGAGCTGCGCCCTCCGCCCGTGCATCTCGGGGTGGGAGACCCCGCGGGACGCGCGGAGGTGGGGGGGACACCTGCCCCAAGACCCCCGCTCCTCTCACCACCTGCGCGGCCCCGCCCCTAACTAGGCCCCGCCCCTGAAGGCCCCGCCCCGCCCCCCGCCCCGGGGGGTCCCGCCTGGCCCGGCCAGGCCTCCCCCTCCCCGCGTCGGCTCCGCCCCGCCCGCGGGCTCCCCAGGCCAGACCGGGCCTCACCGGGGAGGCGGCGCCGCCGGCCAGGCGCCGGGGCTCAGAGCTCCCCTCTTTGGTGCGGCCGTCGCTGCCGCTACTGCCGCTGCCGCTACCGGTGCCGGTGCCGCGGCCTCCGCAGCCGCCGCTGCCTCCACCGCTCCGGGGACATTGTCCCTTTAAATCTCTCCCCCCGCTGCCCCGCCCCCCCGGCACGCCGCCGTGACCTAAGCGCGACAGCCCCGCCGCGCCGCCATGATGGGGAGGTCCGGGGCGTCCCCCGCCAGCCCTCCCCTGCCGTTCTGCCGCCCCAGCGGTGCCCCGGGAGGAGGATTGGTCAGCGGGCTCGCGCCATATTGGGAGTGGCCAGGCAGGTCACCCTTAAAGGGCCCCCGGCCTGAGAGTCCAGGGAGAGGCTCTATTACCATGACAACACTCTTGTCCTCCTGTCCCCAGTGGCTCTTCATCACCCCACGGGTTCTTCCAATGCAATGCTGGCTAATAGTACCAGAAGAGTGGGGAGAGGACAGAGAAGTTCCCCCATGGGTCACTCATAGATCATTGAGGACTCCACCCAGCCAATCCTTAGCCTTCAGTCCCCTATCAGCTACCTTCTAACCACAAGCTCACTGCCTCCTTCCACATTATCCACACTGAACTTCAGCACCTCCATGCCCCCAGAGCCTGCCCTAGGTTCCCACTGCTAAGCCCCCCTTCTCCACCCAACCCCTAGAATTGCAACCTCCAGGACTACCCTATCATGCACACATAAATAGGCCTGTTGTCTTCTCCTAGCCACCCATCCACATGTCTAACCACCCATTCATCTCCCCACTCATTCATCCACACAGTTAATCAACCATACATCTACCCACCCAATCAACTAACCACTTATCCAGCCACCTCTCCAACACCTATCCATCCATCCATCCATCCATCCATCCAAACGCCCACTCAAACCAAATGCCCACCCACCTCCCATCTACTACTTAGCCATCCACCACATAACCAATGTCTGATCCCATTATCCAACTAGCCACCCTCCCAAATCCTCACACCCATCCACCCACCTGAACATCCACTCAATTTACCCATCCATGTCTTAGCTACCTGTCCATCCATTCACCACCCAAGTAAATACCTCCTTATCCATACAACTCTCTTCCCTGCACAGAACCTTTCACCAAGTTACCCAAATATCCATCCATCCATCAATTGCATATTTACTTGGTTGTCTCCTAGAGTGTAAGTTCCCTGAGGACAGGAGTCCTGTCTAATTCATTGCTATTTCCCCACTGCTCAGCCCAAGAGTCTCAGGACACTTCAACAAATGTTCATATACATACTCAATTAATTCAAATATTTATTTCCTAGTACGATATGGGCCTTTTCTAGGCAGACATACCTATCCCAGCCAGCCACCTACTTAACGACTCACCTACCGGTGCAAACATCTAGCAAATGCTAACCTACTCATTTACCTATGTCCCACCTACCCTACCCCTCACCCATAATTCAAATGTTCACTCATTTACCCAACCAACACCCATAGAGCTCAACTATCTCCACACCTACCTGCCCCTTCCTTCATCTGCTTCCCAAACGCATGTTTGCCCTACCATGAGGGAACTGGTATGGGATTTAGGGGCCCTGGAAGATGCTCTGACTTGGGGCCTGGGGGTTGGTGGAGGTGGGATCTGAGCTTTATTAAGAAGTAGGTATTGGGCCTAACAAATGATGAATACCTTTTTTTGAGTACTTTAAACTACAGGTCGTGTACTACGTAAGGACCTTTAGATCCAATTTACAGATGAGAACAATGAGGCTCTGAGAGAGTGAAGGCCTGAAGTCACACAGCTAGTGCGAATCTCTTTACATCTCCCCCTTCATGAGCCCTCCAATTAGGGGAGAACTTGGGAGAGCTGAATTGGGGTAGTGCTTTCTGATTGGCAACAGTTAGGGACAAAGAAACCATCGATTTTACTGAAATCAAGATTTTACTGGGCAACTTCACAGTGCCAGGCTGGTTGCCACCTAGTGCTCCACTGTAGGCCATGTAGGGCTGAGGCAGGGCCCCTAAAACAGCTATCTCTCTGCTCTCAGACCACGCAGGGCAGAGTGGGCAACTCAGGTGGTGTCTCCATTAATGCAGGGTGCTTTGAGGAGCACGGGCCCTGGTGTCCTTGGAAGGTGCTGCAGGCTCTGGATGGCATCCCTCAGCTGGGCTTGAGAACTCTCCATTTCAGCCAGGCGGTGCTCCTGGGGAGGCAGCGGCAGTGGGCTCAGAGCCAGGGGAGGGTTTCACCCCAAACCTCAGTTCCTCACCGCACAGACCTGCCCCAGGGTTCAGGCAGGGGACTCTCACCAGACTTTTCATCTTGTGGGCCTCACTGATTGGAGGGTTGTGCACTGGATCCAAATGCGAGGTCCTGTGGGAATCAGGGGCAAGGGAGGAGCTCAGAGGTTGGGGAACACCCTTCCAGCCCCTGATTGGAGAGCTAGGGATCCGGAGGCCGGGCCTGCCCAACTAGGGGGCGGGGCCTAGGTAAACTAGAAAAGGCTATATCCGAGTCTGGAACTCCTAGGATGAAAGGATTTAGCCCTTGGAGGTGGGGCTTGGCCCGAGCTGGGTGGGGTAGTGACCGGGATGGGGGCGTGCCCAGACTTGAAGGGCCAGGCCCAGTCTGTTTGGGAAGGCCTGATTGAGGGATGGAGACTGACCAGAAGACCTGCGAAGGACCTGGGGGTGGGCTCACTTAGGGACTGGCTGAGCTGACCAAGAGATGGGTCTTAGACAGGTGTTGCTAGGGGGCGTGGCCGTGCCTGGCGAGATTTGAGTGGGACTGATCGACTGAGAGGGAGGACCTAAATGAAAGTGGGTCCTGGGCGATCTGATTACGTAAGCGGGTTCACCTGGGGACAGATCTAATGGAGAGGCAGGGCTCACCTTCCCCCAATCTTGGAGTCCAGGTCCTCCAGTTGGCCGCGAAGCTGCTGCTGCTGCTCGGTCAAGGCCCGGATGTGGGTGCCCAGCGACTCCACGAGGCGGGACAGCATCTTCTGTTCTTCGCGCAGGGCGGCCACCTCGCACTGCAGCTCTGCTAGCTGTAAGTGAGGGAGCCACTGTAATCTGACCCGCCGTCCCTCCTCTTCTTTCAGAAGACCCTGACCTTCCTGTTCCTTGCGCGCTGCCTCCTCACTGCCCTGACTCTTGGGCAACATCGCTCTTTTTTTTTTTTTTCTTTTTTGAACATCGCTCTCTTGTACGGAGGAAGAAACTGAGGCTCAGAGAGGATTGGACTAGGCCCGGGTTAACACAACGCAGGGAGCTCGTATTTAAACCCAGACCTGTCTGGCCTCCAGTGTCGTCTTTTCCCTCTATGCGTGGAACTGGGCTGGACCTCACCTTGCCCGCGGGTCGGTGCGTGCTTAGCGCTTGGTCTCTGTCTCGCGGCTGGTCCAGCTGGCGCTGCCAGGGTACTGACGGCTTCCGAGGCAGCGAGGCCGAGGCCCCGGTCCAGGGCCGGCCGCGGAGCGCGGGGCCAGTGCGTAGGGAGCCTTTTGGTCTCGGCCGAGGTCCTGCAGACGGGCGGCGGCGAGCGGGGCGGCCAGCTGGTACGCTCTGCGTGCGCTGTACTGGCCGGGGCTGCCGTGGGGGCCGGTCCTCATCTAGCCGCTGCCGGGCCCAGCTTCCTGAGCCATGAACGCTGCGCAGCGACTGGCTCTTGGAGATGAGAGGGGTATGCTTGGGGAGGTCCCGAGGGGGCAGGAAACCGGGTTTCTCCCCTGCCGAAAAGCTGGGGGTGGGATGGAGAGGAGCTCAGACCCTTGACTGGCCACTGAGCTGACCCCACCCCTAACTCTGACCCGAAATGACCACACCCATGATCTTTTTATTTTATTTTAATCCTCACCCGACGATTTTTTTCCCCATTGATTTTTTGATAGAGAGGAAGAGAGGGAGGGAGGGAGGGAGAGAGAGAAACATCGATGTGAGAGAGACACATGGATTGGTTGCCTCCTACAGGACCCTGACTAGGACCTGGGATCAAACAGCAACTGAGGTATGTGCCCTTGACCGGAATCGAACCCGAGACTCTTTGGTCCATGGACCAGTGCTCTAACCACTGGGAATAACTAGCCAGGGCATGATCCTTTTACTTCTATGTGGCCCAGTCACACTTTGACTTCTGACTCTGTCCTAGACTTCTGAGAATACTGTTCTCTCTATGACCCTCGACACCACCCCAATCTAACCTTTGTCTCTTCTCTAGTCTTGTCCTGAACTCTGATACAGTGTGACCCTTGACTTGACCCTCTCTGTAGCATCAATTCCAATCTAACCTTGGGATCGACCTCTGCTCACAAGGGTATCCTCTTCCTTCCTTACTGATCTCCTCTTACCCCAACCTCTGACATTAAACTGACCCTGTCTGCCCCTTGAAAGACCATGGTCCCCGACCTCTGACCCCAAACATGACTCTTCCCATACCCTTGAGCTATCTGACCCTGACCTTTGCATACAATATGAACCTGTCCCTGACCCTTGATAATGTACCTTTAACCCAATCCTCAACCTCTCATTGAAACCTGACCGTCAATGCTGACCACGATGTCACTTTCTCTCTGATGCCAGATGTGACCTCTCCCTGACCTATGCAATGACCAATTCCCATCTTGGACTTCAATCTGATCCTGTGCCTGCCCTAAGACTCCATCTCCAGCCTCTGACCTCTATCCAACACTGTTGCTGACACTGACCCCAATGTGACCCCATCCCTGACCCCTGACACAATCCAGCCTTCACATAATCCTGCCTTCACCTCTGATTCTAGTCTAACTCTGAGCTTGCCTTTGACCCTGCCCCTGCTCCCACCTATCAGAACTGGACCAGACTGGAGGAAGACAGGTTACCTGGAGCAGGCCTGGGCTGTGGGTGGTGGAAGACGCATCGGCACAGACACAGGTACAGGCCGGCCTTCCTCAATGGCTTGTAGGATGGTGGGCAGGGGCTCCAGGCTGTCACGGGTTGCCTAGAGTGAGGCATGTAGGGAGGATACTGAGCAAGCTCTCTGGGGCCAGAAGTTCCCTGCCCTCTTGCCTCCCTACCCCTTGTCCTACCTCTAGGTTCAGGTCATACCTGGTTAAGTTCAGCAAAGATAGTACAGAGCTGGGCATGCAGGACTGCCAGCTGGAGGGCTAGGTCACTGCTGCCTTGGTAACCACTGGGTGCTGCATCCACATCCACTATGGCCACTTGGTCCAGGAAGTGTTGCATGGCAGGTCCATGATTCTCCAGAAAACCATTCATAAAGTCCATGTAGGCCTCCTTTTCACCAAACCTGGGTCAGGATCCAACTGGGTGGTCAGGTCAGGCATCTGCCACCCCCATGGCCCTACCATGCCCCCTCCTTGCCTTCCAGCACCTACGGGGCACGGTTGGCGAGGTTCTGGATGACCTTGGCAATCAATGTGAGGGTACGGGCTGGGGCAGGTGCCGGGTGCTCTGGTGCTAGGCCAAAGAGGCTGGGTGCCAGGATGGCCGGACACAGGAGCCGCAGGAAGAGAGAGGCACACACCAGCCGGGGGCCCAGTGCCTCGGAGCCTCTTGCTTTGCATGCTTCTCTCCAGCCTGAGAACACAGTGCCCAGCTCTGCTGGGAACCATCTGGGACAGAATAGGCAATGGTCAAAGGGGGAATGAATGGGCATAAAGTTCATGGATGATCAAACTCCTAAGGTCAGGGACCAGGAGTCACCTGCGTTCTGAATTCCAAGATTAGAGACATCAGGGATAATGATGCTTGGGGTCAGGATTTATGGTGGTGTTACTGTGGTGACCTCTGAAATCAGTAATCTTGGAGCTGGGGGTACAGGGTCACATGGGAACAGAGGCCATGAGCCTTAGATCTAGCTATAACATAAGATTGTAGTGACAGACAGAGTACATGATATGAATTGAATGGTCTCATGGGGTCACCTAGGTTCAGAAATCATGGTATTGATGTCTCAGATGACATGGGATTAGGCATACAGGTTAACCTAGGGTCAGAGGTCAAGGAATTGGAATCCCAGGTTTCCTGTGATCAGTTGCATGGGGTGTTGGGTCACTTAAGGCCAGAGGACACATCACCTGAAATCAGAGATCATAGGATTGAGGTCCTATGTTAACTGAGGTCAGGTGGCATGAAATTAGGACATCAGGTCACCTATGGTTAGAGGACAAAGAATTGTGTCCCAAGTCACATAGGGTTAGGTGGCATAACATTGGGAATGAGTTACCAGAGTTAGCAAATAAAACTACAGGCTAACAGTTAAACTTGAATTTCAGATAACAAATAAATAATTTTAAAATATAAGTATGTCCCAAATATTGCATCACATTTAACTGGGCACCCTGTATTTTATCTGGCAACTAGCAGTGGCTAGGAGGCAGGGGCAGGCTCAGGTGCTGGAGTACTGATTCTTACTCATAGGAGTGGATGATGTTCTTGAAGACCTCCTCACATCTGTTTTGCACTCTGGCTTGGTGCTGGGGCAGCTCTGAGGCTGGGCACTTGCTGGGGTCCACCTCACAGTCCTCAGTGGAGGCACAAAGACGCCGCACGACCTGCCCTGCAGTCCAGCACAGCCAGACGGGCCAGGGCCATAACCACCAGGACCCACCATACCCAACTTCCACCTCAATCTCCATTTTACTCCGGAGGCACCTAACATCTTGGGGAGTCCCCAGTTCCCTCCAGGATCCCCGCCTCCAAGGCATCCCCACTACCAGAACTGAGGTTACCCAGGGACTCCCAGATTTCCCGTGGGGTCCCCTAGTCCTCCCAGCAGGCTTCTAACAGCTTCCCCACCATCACCACCACACACACACACACACACTGCTCACCCAGCGTCTCTTGGAGGTAGTCCTGTGCCACCAGCTTCATGTACTCATCAATAGCCTTGGTGGCCAATGTATTTTCCCGGAACAGCAGTGCCTCACGGCCACCACTGCGAGCCAGTTCTGCGGTTCCCAGGTCTGTCACCAGTGCCTGGGCATGGGGGGGGGGGGGGGTGTCATGTTGCCTGGATGCAGACTGAGCCAGGGGGAATCCCTTCCCTTGCCAAATCCCTCTCACCTGGGCACAGGCCCCGCTCCCCACAGCTACAGCTCAGGTCTGGCCTTCACTGCTGGGTCACCTAACAACCGGGGACCTTCACCCCCTCACGGCAGAAATTTAAACTTTTTAGCACTGAGGCTCAGCTCAGGCTCGGTCCTTCGCAGCTAAAGCTCAGGCCTGTCCCTGCAGGTGCTCCACCCTTCATAGCTGAAGCTCAGACCCCTCCCCGCCCCTCGCAGGTGCCACTTGGTCTGGTCACCCGGTTCCTGCCGGTCCCCGCGCCACACCTGCGCCCGGCCGGTGGCTCGCATCACGCGCACCATGGCAGCCGCCAACTCCTCCTTGGCTTGCGCGGACAACTCCGGCTCGAGTGCTCTGCAGAGACGTGCGTAGTGGAAAGTGAGAAACTCCGCCAGTTCCTTGTAGCGCTGAGAAGGCAGCACGCGCAGGCGCCGTGCCCGGATGCGCGCCCGCAGCGCCGCGCCAGCTGGTGCCCCGAGCAGCGGGAACCAGCGCTCCAGGCCCGTGGCTGGCGCACGAGGGGTGCCCAGCTCCTCTAGCGCCAGGGTCGCATGGCCCAGCGCAGTGCTCCCTGGGCCCGCTCCGCGCAGCCGCAATGACACACGATGCGCTGGCGGAAGCGCCTCGAAGTGGAAGCGCTCTGCCCAGAACAGTGAGCCCGGTCCAGCCCGCGGAGCGGTGCGCGCCAGCAGCGCGCCGTCTAGCCACAGCTCAACGCGCACTCCTGGCGGCCCCGCTACCGCCCGGGGCAGTCCCTTCACTTCATGCACCCAAACGCTCAGCCATGTCTCTTCGCGTTCCATGTTGTCCTGTGGACCAGAGCAGTAGGGGGGAGAAGTGGGTGCTCGATGGTGGGCACCAGAGGTGAAGGGTAGGGCCCATGTCCCCAGGGAGATCGCTGGGACCCTGGGGGAAGAGTGAGGCCACAGGGGTCCCAAGATGGCCACTCAGAAGCCCTCATGCTGTTCTGTAATCTACCGGCTAGATGGGGACTTCAGGGTAGGGAGAAGAAGCCGTGGTGTGGGAACTTGGCTACTACCTCATAGGTGGGGCTTCGGGTGCAAATAAGGTCCAGATTGTGCAAGGGGCTGGTACTAGATGTTGAGGGTCTCGGAGTGGTTGCCCAGGTGTGGGCGGGCAGAAATGTCTAAGGATTGGGGTGGTGCGAGTTGGTGAAAGGGGTGGGGCTCTGGCTGTAGGCGGGGCTTCAAGGTCCCTGACTTCACGCAGTACTGACCTGACTGGGCTGAAAGTGACGACGAAGGTCCTCGATCCAGCGGTCTCTCTCAGCAGCCGAGCGACAGGAGAAGCAGCGGCTTCCACCTACCCACGTTACCTGTTGGGGAGAGGGTTCCATGTTGCGGTTGAGACCAAGCATGGAGCCAAAGGGTCGAGACGAAGTGAAGAGTTGCCTACATTTACCTGGAAGCAGTGGGGCTCCTCTAGGAGGCTCGGGTGCAGTGGCCAGACCCGCACATCTCGTTGGGCGCCTAGGTCCAGTTCAGAGAGTGTGGCCAGAGATTCCCGAGAGCCCAGAGCACTGGGGGGTCTGGGAAGGGGACAGGGACAAAGTGTCATTTCTACCTTCTCCCCTCACCACCCACTACAGCCTGAAGGGTAAAGAGAGGCCAAAATGGACTTTAACCTAAATTGGACTTGAATCCATCACTTTTAGGATCAACCCAACTTCTCATGATGGCCTGCATGACCTTGTATCGTATAGCCCTTGTCATCATTTGACCTCAATTCTCTTCACTTAATCCCTTGCTGTCTGAACTCCAGTCACACTGGCCTTGTTTTTGTGTCTTTATCAAACCTCTTGGCCTTTGCACATGCTGTTCCCTCTGCCTGGAATGCTGTCCCTGCCCTTCTTGGCCTAGTTAATTTCCTTCCATTCTTCAGATCTCAGCTGAGTTCTCTTCCCTGACACTCTCAGACCAAGATTTTGACATAGCTCTTTTTTAGTTACTGTGTCAGACTCTGCTCCTGCTCTTCCATAGGGGACTGACTCCATGCTAGGGTCTTTCAGTGACCCCAGCATGGCCTAACACAGGGTAGGACATAGACAGGGCTATAGAAGTTATGTGGTGAAGGTCAGAATGATAGGTAGGAGGAGGGGGAGGGGACAATGTTGAATCCCAGCCCCTCTAGCCTCTCAGAGACTCTTACCCATCCCGCGAGGCATTGGCTCCCAGCTCTGACCTGGCCTTTTTCTTTTCTTTCAGCCGCTTGAGCAATCCCTATGGGGAGAGAGATATCAGCTGGACAGAACCCTTTTGCTCCCTCCTCAGCTCCTTTTCCCTTGGGGTGTCCTGGAGGATCTGCTAGTCTCGGGGACCACAAGCTTTGGGGACCAAAAACTCAGTCCTTATTAGCAAGATAAAGGCAACAAAAGCTCCCATTTCTAAAGCAACAATTGTATGCTTTCCTGCATTCTTTATTGATTTCTCATAAACAGCCCAGAGAGGGAGTTTCTCCCATTAGCTCCATTTGACAGATAGAGACGCTGAGGCCCAGAGAGGTCCAGTGACCTTCCCAGGATTACCAAGAAAGGGTCCCCTTAACCTCTAAGGGTCTGGAAGTCTTTGCTCTCCCTTTTACCCTCTTACTGGATGCCTCACCCGAACGTTGTGAACCTGGTTGGGGCCAGCAGCCTCTGGTTCAGTCTTTCCAGAGATTCGGTCTGTGGGTATTCAGGGGTAGAAGGTTAGGAGATGCGATCATCTTGGGTTCTGCCCCACCTTGACAAGCTCCCAAATCCCCCAGCCCTCCCTACATCTCATGCTTACTTACCTGGATCCCTGAGGTTCCCCATGGCCACCTGGCTGCTGCTCTCAGAGCTAGCACTCCCCACCCGGGACTGGCGAGGACCCTGTTCCTCCATAGGAGTGGGTAGTCAGAAAGAGAAGGCAGGCAGGCAGACCAAGGGACAGGCAGACATCTTTTTATTATTCCCTCTCCCTTCTCCTCCTTCCCTCTCCCTTTCCCTCCTTCCTTCCCCTTGCCCATAGTTCCTCTCTTACCTCTTCCTCACCCCCAAGCATCACCAGCCTCCCATCTAGCAGAGTGAAGGCTTCGATGTTCCAGACAGGCACATTGGGTGTGGGAGCCTCGGGGATCTGTGGGGTAGGGGGCTGCGGCTCTGGCTCAGGCTCTGGTTAGAGGAGGAAGTGCTGGGAACCTAAGAGTTCTTCCTGAACCTTGGACCACCCTTTCCATTCACCAAGGCACACTGGTGTACCTCCTACTTGCCTCCTCCTCCCCTCACCATGTCAGGTAGTTGTTGAGCATGTCAGGTAGTTGTTGAGCAGCCATGTCAGGTAGTTGTTGAGCATGGCTCCTTTCTGGGCCTTGTCCCCACTGGCCTTGGGTAGTGGACTCAGACCACTTACTATGTGACCTGTATTGTGTTTACTGCTCTATATGCCTTCTCTCATTTAATCCTCCAAAGTCACTGAAGGTACTATTATAACCCCCATTTACCAAGAAGGAAACTGGAACCTAGAGAGATTGAGATTGCCCAGGTTCACACAGCCTGTGAGTGATTGAGCTGGGCCTCAGACACAAGCGTTCTTCTCTTGACAGGACAGTGGGTAGGTTCAAGAAGTTAAACAACAGGACAGCAGCCTTGGTTCCTTGCATAAATAACTAGTCTAAGGTGGACTATATTCAAAATTTTAGAAAGGAACAAAAAAAGGTCAGCGTTGGGGTTGGTGGTAGTGCAGCAGGCTGGAGAAGGCCTCCTAGAGAGAGTAAGTTTGTGCTAGCACTTGAACAGCAGGTTTGATTTTTGAAAGAGATGAAGGGGATGCTGGCAGGAACAGCTTGATTCAAGGCTGAGAGATTGCAAGGCCAGGGAAGTCAAGTGAAGGGCAAAAAGATTTGGGGGGCTCAGAGGCTAGAGAAAAAGGTCCAGGAAGAGATTGGTTCAGGACCTTGGGTGCTAGTTAGAGGGGGTTTTATCCTGGAGGTAGTGAAGAGCCATGGGACATGTTTGAGCATATGAGGATCAGTTCTGCTTGTCAGAGAGCTCTCTGGAGACTATGGAGTAAACAATACCTGATACCCTGAAAGGGGGTTGAAGGGATGCTTTTGAAAAATGAGAATATGAATGGTGAGAATTAAATGAGCTTCCAGAAATAGGAGGGCTGAACCAACTCTCCCAGATTACCTGTCTGTACTTTTTTTTTAAAGTTAACCATTTTGTTATTTATTTATTTATTTATTTATTTATTTATTTATTGTTAATCCTCACCCAAAGATATTTTTTCATTGATTTTTAGAGAGAGTGGAAGGAAGGCAGGGAGGGAAGGAGGGGAAGAGAGAGAGAGAGAGAGAGAGAGAGACGAATGTGAGAGAGACACATTGATTGGTTACCTCCCACATGACCCAGACCAGGGCCAGGAATAGAACCTGCAAGCCAGGTATGTGCCCTTGACTGGGAATTGAACCCATGATCTTTTGGTCCATGGGCTGATGCTCTAATTGCTGAGCCAAACCAGCCAGGGCTGTCCTATTGTTTTACAATTAGGGGAAGAAATGATAACTCCCCCTATTAATGGATCACTTAAAATATACTGGATACTGGGCTAGTGCTTCATGCTCTAGAGCTCCAATCCTCCTCATACCCTTCTAGATCCCTCTGTGCAACACTTAGCCCCATCTGTCATTTTCCTTTTTTTTTTTAAATCCTCACCCGAGGACATTTTTCCATATTTTGTTCAGATAGAGTGGGAAGGAGAGAGAGACAGAGAGACAGAGAGACAGAGAGACAGAGAAACATCGACATGAAAGGGACACATCAAGTGGTTGCCACCTGCATGACCCAGCCAGACAAACTGCAACCGAGGTATGTGCCCTTAGCGGGAACTGAACCCAGGTCTCTCTGGACTGCAGGCCGATGCTCTAACCACTGAGCAAAACCGGCCAGGGCTGTCATTTTATTGTTTATACTTGTTTACTGTCATTCATGCCCACTATACTGTGTGCCTCATGGGGCAGCCAGCGACATCTCTTTTGTTTACTGCTGTATCATCGGTGCCTAAATCAGGGCCTGGCACATAGTAAATGCTCAACAGACCTCTGCTTGAATGAATGAATGAATGAATGAATGAATGAATGAATGAATGAATGAAATTATATACCCTTCAAGGTAGGAATCATATTCCCATTTAACTGATGGGGAAGCTGAGGCCCCAAAAAGTAAAGAAACGAAAACATGGAAGCTGGAGGGTAGGAGAGCTGGAGGAAGCTGAGATGGATATTCAGGCACAAGAGAATGAGACTGGGCCATTGGCTATAACAGACTAATTGGGGCCAAAGGACCATTTGGCATCTGAATAGTGCTATCATCAGTCTATTGCCTGTCTCTTCCCTAGGCTGGACCCCTTTACCCACAGGTTCTTGGCCACACCCCAGACCCCCAAGCCCTGGGTAAGGGGGAAAGAGGGAAGAGGGCAGCTGGGCCCCAGCCACTTCCTTTTGGGCTTTTGAACTCCCCACAACTTCCTGTGTCTGTATGGCTGATGCTCTGGAGGCAGACAAAACCCAAGCATCCGGTCTCCCAGCCTGGCCCAAGTTCTGAGTGGGGAAGCCATGTACCTGAGGTCTCTGGCTCTGGCTCTGGCTCCAGTGGTGGGCTCTTATGCCTTCCCCAGAGGGTCTTGGATATTCTGCGATGGCTGGTGCCTGACTCCTTGGGGGGCGCAGAGAGGACACGACGGAACAACGAGCGACGGGCAGGTTGGCTGCTGACCATGGATTCCTGGTGGCTCAGTGCCCTCCCCCAGCCAGCTAGGCGGCCCCAGTGAAACCCTCCAGCCCCCTTCTCTCCACCTCCCATGTGCCAGCGATAGGAGGTTAGCGGGGATTGGGCTGCCGGCTGGTCTTCAGAGGACTGGCTTGTTGATAGTGGGTCCATGGTGGAGATTCTCCTGGGGAACAAGAGGGTGACAGTTCTGTATCATGACTACCCACATGTTGCCCTCATCTAGGCCCCCTCCCCACTCTCAACTCTTCCCCCAGAAAATCCCCTTGGTGGCCACACGCCCTCCCTCCCTTACCTTGATTTCCTGATCAGCCCCAGAGGCAACAGCCGTCTGCACACTGCCTGACTTCCTCCTGCTGAACGCTACTCCACGTGACCCTGTCTGTCCCACCCCACCCCACAACAAGGTTGGCAGGGCACAGTGAGGGCAGGACGCAGGAGGAGAGGAGGTGACAGAGCAGAAACCAGAATCTCTCAATGACCAGGAGGCCTCAGTTGTCCAAATGCTGATGAGAACATGGAGCCTCTGGAACTGTCATCCACCTCTGGTTCGTGTGTAGACCAATTCACCCAAGTTGGAAACTGTTTGGTCTGATTGACTAACATTGACTGTACACCTCTCCTCTGATCCAGCAGTTCACCCAATAGACATTCCCACTGGCACTGTTCATAATAGCCCCAAACTGGCAACAACCCAAGGGTCCATATACCACAGAATGAATAAATTGTGGTCAGTTCCCACAGTGGAATACCATGCAGCAATGAGAATGAAAAAACTAATGAATGTTTGAAATCAGATGAATCACAAACAATGCTGAGCAAAAAAATAAATAAAAAGAAAAAAGAGATAACTATACATGGTATTGTTCATTTATATAAAGTCCAAAGCAGATAAAACTATGTGCAATAAGTCAGGATGACATTTTCCTTTGGAAGGGCTAGTGAAACAGGGCATGAGGGAGCTAACCATGGTTTTTTTTTTCTGCTTTGATTTTTTTTAACTCCATCTTCTTCATTTTGCACACTTAAGTATCAGAACAACAACAAAAAACCCCCCACAATACACAACATCCAAATTTGATGTCAAATATGAGAATACAACGCTTGAGGTCCACCTGCCTTAGGCAAATACAGGAGAGGGAAAAAACCACTAAACATCAGCACAGGAAACCAGGTGGGCTAGGACCACTCAGGGCTGCTGGGAGAGCCATGAAGAAACTCCACAGAGGACACAAGGTCTGCAGGTAGAAGCTCCCATTCTACTTCTCCCATGCCAGAGACATCCTCATCACCCTCAAGGGTGGGCGGGGAATCTGATCAGGAGCAGCAGCACTGGGTTCTGCTGTCACTTCATCTTCATCGGTGCTAAGCCTAGCTTGATCATGCCTAAATGTGGTTGGAGTGGGTCTGAAGATCCTCAAGTGAGAAGCCAGAAGAGAGTAGCGCAGTCTCAAACAGCAACATCACCAAATCCTTGACAGCCTTGACATTCCTGTCTGCTTCCATCTTCTTTCTCAGAGTCTTCACAATGGGGTGGTCAGGGTTGATCTCCAGGTGCTTTTTGGCCATCATGTAGCCCATTGTAGAGTTATCCCCAAGTGCCTGGACTTTCATGATATGCACCATGTTAGCTGTTTGGCCATAGGTGTTAGTCACAATGCAGCAGGGTGAAGACACATTGTTCCATTTATTTTTAGATAGAGTGGAAGAGAGGGAGGGAGGGAGGGAGGGAGGGAGGGAGGGAGGGAGGGAAAGAGACAGAGAGAGAGAGACAGAGAGAGAGAGACAGAGAGAGAGACAGAGAGAGAGAGAGAGAGAGAGAGAGAGAGAGAGAGAGATAAGAGAGACACATCAATTGCTTACTTCCTGCATAACCCTGACCGGGGCCGGGGATCAAACCTGCAACTCAGGTACATGCCCTTGACTGGGAATCGAACCCATGACTCTTTGGTGCGTGGGACGAAGCCCAAGCAACTGAACCATACCAGCCAGTGCTATTTCTGCTTTTAAAATTGAGGCAAAATTTACATAACATAAATTAAACATGTCTATTATTTTTTAACCCTCCTGAAGACATGCTTAGAGAGAGGAAAGGAGAGAGAGAGAGAGCAACATCGATTGGCTGCCTTCCACACATTGCCTGACCAGGGATTGAACCCACAATTCAGGCATGTGCCCTGACTGGGAATCACACCAACAATCCTTCAGTGCACAGGATGACAGTCCACCAACTGAGCCATATGGCTGGGCAAATGTGTCTATTTCTTAAGCTGGGTGCTGGTTACATGGCTGTGTTTGGTTGTAAAAATTCATTGATGCACTTTCCTAATAAATGTTTTCTTAAAAAAAGAGGTAGGTAAATACTATTCTGAGGAATAAGTGAGTCAACATGAGAGTCAGTAGAATCTTGGCCCAGGAGTGGCTTCCAGTGCCAGCTGGTCCTTCTCTCACTGTGTAACCTCAGGCAAGTCACTTCCTCTCTCTGAGCCTTGGTTTCCATATTTGTACAACAAAATGATATTATCAGTTTCAGAAGGTGTATAATAGGAGCCTTCTTTTATTAAAAAAAAAATGTTTCCTGAGTTCCTACCATGTGCTAGGTGCTGGAGAAGCCATGGGGAACTAAATAAACATGATTCCTGCCCTCCTGGAGCTCACAGTTTAGTGAGGGAAGCATCCTGAACACAAATGCAGGACATTTCTCACTGGTGAGGAGGACTTGGAAGAAAATAAACAGATTAGAGTTGAGAGGCTGAGCAAAGGTGATGCACTTTGAGCTGGAAAAATCCAGGAAGGCTGCCCTGAGGAGGTGGCATTTGTAACCTGAAGCATGAGAAGGAGCTGGCAATGTGAAGAGCAGGTTAGGTGAAAGGAACAGTTTGTGCAAAGGCAAGGAAGACCAGAATTTGGGGGGTGGGGTAGGTAGAATCACTTTGATGAATATGTGGCCTGTGCAGTCACCCAGGACCCCACACTCAGAAGGGCTCCACACTACATTTGATTTAATGCTTTCCTATCACTGTCTTGAAGTTCTTGCCTTTTGAACAAGACGCCCTGCATTTTCATTTGTACTGGGCCTCACAAATTCTATAACCCATCCTGAGGACCAAAGACCCTTCTGGAGCTGGATGTGTTCAGGCAGGTGCACACACCTTAGATATGCCCATCTTATTCATACTGTATAGAGCCACTCACTGCACACACACACATGGAGTATCCCTGTGTTCTGCCCTATCCCTGAGCATTTACCACCTCACTGCATACTGGCTCCACTTCCAACTCCCTTTATTTTTTGCTGGAGGACTTTCTCTGGCAGATGGAGCCCATGCAACAAACAACCCAAAATGCCAGAGAATTAACAGCTCCCTGAGAGAAGCCCTCAGCCAATGATTATGCAAGTTGGAGGATCAATACCCCAATTTCCTCAACCCTTGGGTGGGATGACTTTGAGATGTGTGTCCTATACTGTCCTCCAGAGGTCCCCAGTGAGATTGAGCTCCATGTGCCCCCAGTGCCAGCTTGCTTGGTAAAGCATCCTCTGGGCTGCCTTCCATTTCCTGCCTCTCTTCCTTGTTCTTCAAATGATGTCCTGGGATCACCTCCCAAACTACTTCCACTGGAATTTCTATCTTAGGGCCCGATTCTGAGCAAACCCAAACTAAGACAACATGTACAAACACAGATGATGCATAGACAGAGGCTTTCTTCACACACTCTCTTTATTGGAGGTCTGTGGCTGGCAGGGTCACTGGAGGTGGCTTCCTCTTGATCTCCCAGAGGCCTTCCTGGCAGTTCTTGGCTTTACATTCTAGAAAAGATAAGAGACTGTGAGCCTTGGGGGTTGCGGTGAGGCTGGGTGTCCTCTCCTCATGGTGGGGCCCTGTATGAGGAAGAGTACAAAGTGAGGAGGTGGGTGCAACACTGACTGCAGGCCAGCTTAATGAAATAGAATGGTAGTGTGCAGGTAGCACGAGATTGTGCATGTGTGTGAGTAGAGGTGTTTGGTGATCGAGGTCAAGGGGCTGGGGCCAAGGTTGTGCTGGTTGGACCTAGATTGCTGCAGCATAAGAATTGTTATCAAGGGCCAGGGAGGCTGGGGCTGAGCAAGCATCCTTAGGGCTGAGATTGTCTGAGCAGAAGGCTGCAAAATACAGTTAGGAGCTGGACAGAGGATGTGCAGGCAAAGGGGTTTTCTGTAGTGGGACACCAGCTAGGTTACTGCTGTGTATACAGAGGTCTTTTGGATGGGGGCTGGGGTGAGGCCAAGGTTAGGTGGGCTGGGATGAGGTTGTGTAAGCAGAAGCGGTGTGACTTGGATACAGGTGATGTAGGCCAGGCTGAAGTTGTGAGGGCAGAGGGGCTGCTGCAGGAGTCAGGGTCCATGCACTGGTTGGGAGGGCAGAGGTATTGGAAGCTGGGCAAACAACGAGCTGGCTGGGTCAGGGGCTAGGCTAAGGTCATGGAAGCATTGGATAGGGGGTAGGAAATGCCATGAGCAGAACAACTTAACGGTTGGGACCAGGTTGCTTGAATAGATGGGCTGCAAGAGAGATCGGGGGCCTGGTTGAGGCTGTGTGGGTATAGGGGTTACAGGAAAAAGAGGGGCCTGCTGAGGTTGGGCAGACAGGTAGGGGTTAGGGGCTGAGTTTGTGTCAGATGGGTCGTAGGCCGAGGTAGTGTGGGCATCGCTGACTCACCGCTTCGAAGTGCGGCCAGGTGCGCAGCAGTTGGAAAAGCGCATCGCCAGGGCATTCAGTACGAACGAGCTGGCGGTGGCCAAGCAGCCTGTAGTCCGGCCGCAGGAAGCCAGCACGCACTGCGCACCTGGGAAGCAGGTCGCGCACCGTGCGCAGTGCGGCCTCCGCAGGCAGTTTCCCGGTGTAGTTGCCCACGAAGGCCACGCCGAAGCCACGGGAATTGTGGCCTAGAGTATGCGCGCCCAACCAGTGCCAGCCGCGGCCCTCATACACGTAGCCATCTGAGCCCACTACGAAACTGCGGAGGAGAGGGAGCAAACACCGCGTGGCCTCAGGTGTTCCCTGCCCCATATCTATGCCAAGTCCTGTCTGGTCCGACTGTGCCGGGCCCAGCCTCGTCCCACTCCTACACCAAATGACACTCCAGTAACCCTCCTGTTTCTCAGGCATTGGCTACGCCCCTTTGCGTCCAGCCCCACTCCCATTGTCTCAAGTCCAGCTCCTGCCCAAATCACATCCCTTTTCTATCTTAGGCCCAACCCCATCACTACCCCACCCCTGCCCCAGCCCCAGCCCCAGCCCCAGCCCCAGCCCCAGCCCCAGCCCCAGCCCTTAGCACAGGTCCTGCCCCTCTCCCAGGTCCCACCTCCTTTTCTAGTCCCACCCCTGGCCAAAAGGTCCCACCGTTGGTTCCACTGTCAAGACCCCACTCTCGCCTAGGCCACGCCCCTCCCTACCTTGGTCCCACCCACCCCACTCCTCTGTTTCCCCAGGTTTGCTCTGGTCCTCCTCTTGCGTTAGGCTCCCCCCACCCAGGGTCTGCACAAGTAACAGGCACCGCCCTCTCCCAGGCCCCCCTTACCTGTAGCCAATGTCATCCCAGCCACGCGTATCCTGGTGGAAGCGCTGCATGGAACGCATGTTGGCCGCGCAATGCGCAAAGGTGGTGCAGGGGGGCGCGGGCAAGTACGTGTGATGCACGTATAAGAAACCGAGCGGCAGCCGCAGCGGCGTTGGGTGGCCTCGGTATGGTGCCGCACCCCAGCGGCAACGAGGGTGGATGGCCGGGCACCCTGCGGGGAAGGGCGCCCAGGGCTGGGGTCAGGCAGCGTTTCTCTTCCTGCCATCTGCACCTTCATTAGAGCGCATCTATGGGCCATTCCCCCAGCCTCCTTCCAGATTTGGAGACGATTCAGTTTTGGAATCTAACAGAACTAATCTAACAGCGTCTCAGTTCTGTTGGAATATAGGCTATGACTCCTACCCCCTTCAGGATAAACCCCAAGAATTGTAGTTCAGACTTCAAGGATCTTTTCAACCCAGCGTCTTCACCACATTCTCTGCAGCTGGCCCTGCTCTGAGCCTTAGAAGAGACAGCCACACCAAGAAAAGAGGAATCTTGGCCCACATTTATTATGCTCTAGTCATGTGCTACTTGCTTTACATGTTTCATCTTTCACAAACTATCCAGCAAATCCAAGAGGTAGAAGATTTACTCCACTTCACTGTAGAAAGTGGAGTTCCGAGAAGAGAAGCAACTCACCTAAAGATGCCCAGGAGTAACTGGCTGAATGTCCATTCCAATCTTTGTGCCTTTGCATGTGCTGAATCCATCTCCTGCAATGCCATCTTTCTCACTTTTTTTTTTTTTTTGTCGTCAGACAAACTCCTATTCATCCTTCAAGGCCCAAATCTATCCTTTCCTCACCTGTGCAGCTCCCCTGGCTCCCCAGCTAGAGCCCTATTGCTCCCTCTGGAATCCCTAGTCCTGGATCCTCCTGACACATGGGGCTGAGAGTGTCTGTGTCTGTGAGAGGGAGGATCACAGGGGTTGGGGGCCCTTCTCACCCAGGAAGGCCTCCATGAACTCCTTGGTGGCATAGGTGGCCACCTCTGCCAGCTGTTCTTGGCTCATGCCCTGTAGCTGAGGGTGTGCTGGCTCCAGCCTCTGTAGCAGGATGAGGGCACCCCACACGTGCTGGGTCAGGGCAGAGGCTGAAGTCAGAGCAGCTCCGTTGTGCCGTCGGAAGTTGCTGCGAAGTCCTGGGTCTCCAGCCACTCCAGCTCCATAGTACTGGCTCAGGAGGTGGCTGAGGGGTGGCCGGGGCTCAGGGGCCCGGCTCAGGTAATCTCCAAGGAGAACTCCATCCAGAGCACCATTGAGGAAGGCCATGGTAAGCAGTGATGCCTCAGGGTCCAGGAGTGTGAAGTTCCTGGGGGCAGAGAGCTGGTCCCAGCAGCCCTCAGCTCCCAGGCTTGGGGAGCTTTGAGTCTGGGAGCCCTGGAGGAAGGTCAAGCCTAGGTCTCTGGCCAACGTGACCACCAGGAGGTTGTCCACAGTGGTTGGGGGCTTTGCTTTGGCATCTGGCGAGGAGGTTTGGTCATCTGGAGAGGGGCCTCGGACATCTGTAAAGATGGCTCCTACATTGAGATCTGTGGCTCTAACATTTGGAGACGTAGTTCTGACATCTGCAGAACTGACATCTGGAGAGGCATTCTTGAGTCCTGGGGAGGTGGTTCTTATATCAGGAACCACGGCTCCAACATCTGGAAAGGTGTCTCTGGTACCTGGAGGGGTGGCTGTGCTGTTTAAGGGCAAGGTTATGACCCGGTGCCCCTGTAGCCCTGCTCTCAGCCCTGCCAGAAGAGGCTCCACAGCCACTGTTGAGCCATCAGGTGCCAGTACCACCCCGTATTCCTGTCCATCCCGCACATTGTGTTGGGCCACCTCTTCAGTCAGGACTCGCAGCTCTGGGCTCAGTGCAGAAGGATCCAACTTGGTGGCTTTGAAACTTTGTCCCTCTGGCAGGAAGTGATGGAGGGGATCATGGGAACTAGAGTTCTGGGCTGACAGCTGCCACCCAGAGACAGTGCGGCTGGCCTCAGTGACCGGCACCTTCTGTTCCAGCTCAGCCAGAGCCTGGATGAGAGAGTCCATGAGGAGGGGCAGGGATGCTGCAGGAGGAGGGATTGTGTTAGTCCCGCAGCCCAGCACCCCCTTTTCCTGAGCCTCCCTTTGCTTCCACATCTTCTCAATGCCCTCTGCTTTCCCCCTGACAACCCCATGACCCCCCAACACCATCCTTATGCAAATGAGGAAACTGAGGCACAGACAACAGGTTAAGGAGCTTAGACTATCTGTGAGCACTGGGGAGCCATGGCAGATTCATGAGCAGGAGTGAGCCAGGCTGGCATTCTAAGATTGCTTCTCTGGCTGCCTGTGGAGAATGAATTTTCAAGAGGCTAGAGTAGAGCAGGGGAAACAGTATGGAGGTGAGCAATAAAGATTGCCAAAGCTAAGGTGATGGCAGTGTGATGGACAAAAGTGGGCAGAGTCCCCAGGTATTTTGAGGAGAAGATGGGCAGTTTTTAGTGATGGATTAGACTTTGGGTAATTTTATTTTATTTTATTTTATTTATTTTTATCCTCACCCAAGGACATCCTTCCATTTCTTTGTTCAGATAGAGTGGGAGGGAGAGAGAAGAAGAGAGAGAGAGAAACATTGACGTGAAAGGGATGCATCAAGTGGCTGCCACCCTCACGACCCAACCAGGGCCGGGATAAACTGCAACCGAGGTACATGCCCTTAGCGGGAACCGAACCCGGGTCTCTCTGGACCACAGGCTGATGCTCTAACCGCTGAGCCAAACCAGCCAGGGCAACTTTGGGTAATTTTAAAAAGCAAGGTGTCTGGAGGATAATCATGGGAGAAGAGGATGGGCCTGTGCTTTGTGGGGGAAATGTCAGCAGCTGAACCTGGAACCTAGAGGTGTTGGGTTCAGGGCTGGGTGCGTTGTTAAATAATAGTTAACATTTATTATGTTCCAGGCACCATTCTAGGTGACCTACATAACAAATTTAATCTTTACAATGGCTCTATGAACACAGAGAGGTTAAATGACCTGCCTAAGGTCACACAGACAGGAAGTGACAGAAGCAGGATTATGAACCCAGAAATTTGGATTCTTCTTCAGACAGTCCACACTGTAATTCCTCTGTTATTTTCTCTGCCTGAAATGCCCTTTCCTGCTTTTCCCCAAGTAAAATTCTTCTCCCTCCTTTCCTAGATCTGTGTCCCCTCCTCCAGGAAGCCTTCTTGATTTTAACTCTTCTGGCCCCAGGTATCCCACCCCCCACCTTGATCTGTAGGGCAGGGAGCATCTGCGTCCCCAGGCTCGAGGTTCCTCAAGACTGGACTCTCCTGGGGACTCCAGTACAGGGCTGGACACAGAGAGAACAGCAGTACACTTCTGCAGAATTGATTGTCCTTGCCGCAGGCCTCTGCCTTCTGACCTACCTGTCCCTGGTTCTGCACACAGCAACAATCCAAGCAGGATCCAGAGGAAAGCCTGGATTTCTGTTGTGAGATTCCAGCTTCTGGGGCGCATATCTGGTTGACCTCAGCAGAGACCTCGGCAGAGCTAGGAGACAGGCATGGAGAACTGAGTAATGCCTTTGGCCACTGTCAAAGTCCAGGGGTAAATGACATGGCTGCCTCTTCCAGAGCTGTGGGCGGGAGGCTGTGGGGGTGTGGGGGCAGAGTACCCTGGGTTAAGGACGTGTGACTCTCAGGGGCTCTCCCATCCTATCCTTTCTCTCACAGGCTGAGGTCAAGGATCAATAAGCTAGGCCCAACCCAGGAGGCAGCTGGAGGCCAGGTAGTTTAGACTCCAACAAACTCTGCCCATTTCCAAGAGAAGCAGACTGAGGCCAATTGAGCAAGCTCTACCCCTTTCCTGATCATTCAGTAACTGCTGCTGGCCATGACAGTGGACTCTCAGGTGCCAGCCCAACCAGTAAGACTGGCTGTGCTAGGTGAGGAGAGAGAAGGACATTCCTGAAGTTGGTACTGCCGCCTGCCTTTCTGCCAGCACTTCAGGCTTAGTCAGAGAATGAAGACAGGGGCTGGGGGATATTTTTGCCAAGGCCCAGGGGACCAGGCGATGTCTTTTCTCATCCAGTTCTAGTTCCTGATCCCAAGCCACTAGATGTAGCTGAAATCAGGGATTGGGCCAGGGCCTTCCAGACTCTGACTTTGTTCCAGGAGCTGGTTTCTTTGCTCACCTGGGTTGACAGTGAGGGGTCCTCCCTCTTCCCCTGGGGCTGTGTCTGAGTCCTGCTGAAGTGAGCCTGCCTCCCCTTTATTTGAGCTTCAGGTGGGATGGGCTCGGTGTGACTTCAGCTGCTGTGTTAATTGCTTTACTGTGGGCTTCCCACCCTGAAACTAGCCTGGGGAGTTTCCAGGGGACCCACTAGGCTGGGCACTCAGCAAAGGCCAAGCCCTGGGCGGGACAGGGAATGCCCAGGCTGAGCCAGGCTTGGGATTCCCCAGGATAGGCCTGCCCAGATATCCAGTGTCTTCCTTCTGGGGACTCAGCATTACCCAGCACACAGCTGGGCACAGAGTAGGGGCTCAGGAGTGGGCTCTTAGGGGAGGGAGTGAATTGGGGCCACTCTCCAGGAGAATCTGAGGAAATATCCTCCTCTGAGTACCAGCTTCTAAGGATTTGGGGATGGGGCTCTGCCTGGCAGAATCAAGTACAGGAAGTGGTCTGTGTGTCCATCTGGGGCAAGGACTAGAATGAGGAGAAGGAAGCATCCTTGGGCACAAAATTTAAGGTGGTGTCGAAAATCTCAGTCATCAAGATAAATAATATTTTAACGCAACATTTTAATAAGCTAAAGTGAATGCGAAAAATCCATGAAGAACAAACATTTTAGATGTGTTTCTCAACATTTTAGATAAAGACAGGATCAGAAACCATGCTGTGCAAAGACTATTGAAGCCAGAGGTGACAGAAAAAATCAGGAATTCTGATACTGTCTTTGTGCCTCACTTGCCTCACCCTAGTCCCAGTGACCCTGCATAGACCAGAGGGGAGCCCTGAGATGCTGTGGGGGTGGCTGTCACATGAGAGCCACCTGATGTCCACCTGGTCTGGGAATGAATCTGATTCAGCTTTATGGATCTTGGGTTTGTCCCTCTGATTTTCCCACTGATTGTGGCTGTGGGGAGCCTTGTAGTTTTATTTAACCACCTTATGCCCATTTTACCCAGCAGGAGGGTAAACTCAGAGAGGTTAAGTAACTTGTCCAAGGCCACAAAGCTAGAAAGTAGAGAGGACTCTAAGTCCAGTGCATGTTTTCACTGTCCTGTGTTTGGGTCAATGCCAATGTAAACATGACCCTTCACCCTTGGGAAGTGTTTGCAAACTGGCAGTAGAGCAACTTCACTTAGGAATTCAGGGGCCAGCCATAGAGGCAGCCCTGATTCCCTTTTAAAGCTTGGAGTTGGTGGCAGAGGGTGGCTCGAGTTTGAGCCAGGGGAATGTGATGTCCAGCTGGCATTTCCCTTAGGGTCGGTCCAGGATTTATGACCTTCTAGGATAAGACTCTTTCTCCAGGAAGCCTCCCTGATTACCCTTGGCTCCTCCATTATTCTATCCTGGCTCCCTAAACTGGAATTCTCTCTTTTAAGTCAGACCCGTCCATAGAGGACTGAGAGTTTCTTTGTCCAGTTCTGTCTGTCTCCCTGAGACTAGGAGATGTTAGTCCTCTTGGAGTACCCAGAAGTGCACAGCACAGACCAGAGACCAAATGGGTGGCATGGAAGAGTTGCTAAGTACATGAAAGGCTTGACTGAGGATGTGGGGTCAGTTTGGGGTTGGGCTGTGAAACACACATGCACACATACCCAAACATGCAGGCTGGGCCTCACTCCAAGGCACCTGGTCTAGGCTGGGCCTAGGAGGAAGCAGAAAGGCTGGGGTTCCAAGGATGAATCACCCCTACTTCTACCTTTTTTTCCCACCTCATGAGACCCACCTGCCAGGATAGATCAAGGCCCTTCCAGGCTGCAGACAGACTAGAGGTGTCATGAGAGCAGTCACTGTTCAGGGCTTGGGGACAGCTCTAATGAAAGTAGCATTGGCACAGACAGGCAGAGCCCTGGGCCCTGGATCTGAAGTAAAGCTGGGATCAGGGCCAGAGGCTAGAGGAAAAGAACCCTGAAGCAGGGCTGAGCTTGGCTAAGGTTAGACTTAATAATATTCACTTTGGTAGCAGTAATATAATAATAATGAAGAACCTAATACAAGTAATAATAATAATAATAATGATAATAATAATAATAATTGCTGTGTACAGGGCTTTGAGCTAAGATTTTATATGCCTGTGTTTTTATTTAGCTCTAGGATTTGTTAAGAGATGTTGTACAGCACTAGTCAGCACACTACAACCTTCAGACCAACTGTCTGTTTTGTGAAGTATTTTTTCTCAAGGTGAAATTCACCTTACATAAAATGAACCATTTTAAAGTGTACACTTCTGTGGCATTTAGTACATTCACAATGTTGTGCAACCACCACCTCTATCTAGTTCTAAAACATTCTTATCATCCTGAAATAAAGCCCTGTACCCATTAAGCAGTCATTCTCCATTATTCACCAACTCCTCTTACCCATTGATCTGCTTTCTGTCTGTATGGATTTGCCTTTTCTGGACATTTCATATAAACAGAATCATGCAGGAAGAAAAATAATAATGGAGGAGTGAATGGAAGCTACACAGACCATCTCTCAGGACCAAACTGGAATTACAACTAAAATAAAGACAAGTCATTGGGAAAATCCAACTGAAGAGCAGCTAGAGAGAACCCTTATAACTAGGGATGGAAAGAGGACACCAAATTGAGCCTGGTAGGAGCTATAGAGGCACAAGAGGGCTGGCTAGGTGTCCACAGGCAGCAGCTGAGGGCTGTCTTAGCTGTTAGCAGTTCCCTCTGAGAAGTTGGGGGTTAAAACCCCAAGATGGCTCCACAGCACAGAGTAGGGGCTCCCCCAAAACAGAGTGGCAGAGCAGGGAAAGGCTCCCATATAATACCTGTTGAGGAATTTACAACAGCTGTCTGGCAGGGAGAGGCTTGGGGAACTCTGGCACTTCCCTGAAGGGCCAGGGCACTAAACCAGTTACAGCTACTTACCTTGGGCTCCAGTAGAGGGAGGGAAAATTGGACTTAAACTGTGTGAAGAGAGGTGGGAGTTTGTAGCACTGGGGAGAGAGTTGGGAAGGAGGACACTGGGAGTTTTATGCTGAATCACTCCTTCATAGGACAGTAGTCATCTTACTCAAAGAGCCCCTTCCCAGAGCCCTGGAGCAACGGCCCCTCCCTCAGGAAGTTAACACTACGGTGGCTGGAGAAATGCAAATTGAGGCTCATTAGCAGCTAGAGTCTACCAGCAAGCAGGGGGTGGGGGGAAGCCTCTTGAAATGTGGATATGGCTCTCACTGTTGGAGGTCCTGGCTCTGAGGACTGAGCTATGAAGGCTAAGGCCTGAGTTCCTAAGTTGAACTCCTCCCCCATGGCTTCAGTAGCCATATCTGTCAACTAGCCCTCAGTTTTAAACTGGGGGAGAAGCAACTGCCCTCTCTCTGGAATTTAACAACCACCCTGTGGCTCTGGGGACTGAACAATGAAGGCAGAGGCCAGGACCCCACCCTAAGCCAACAATCCACACTGCAAAAACCACTTTCTCTCTCTCTTTTCTTTTTATCCTCACCCAAGGACATTTTTCATCTATCTTCAGATAGAGCAGGAGGGAGAGAGGGAGGAAGAGAGAGAGAGAAACATTGACGTAAGAGAGACACATCAACTGGTTGCCACCAACACAACCCCAACCAGAGCCAGGAACAAACTGCAACCGAGGTACATGCCCTTAGTGGGAACTGAACCCAGGGCTCTCTGGTCCATGGGCTAACACTTTAACTGCTGAGCCAAACTGGCCAGGGCAGAAACCATTTTCTTATCAAAGCAACTTTAACCCAGGGAACAGCAATTGCCCACCTGCTGGAAATCATCTTACCCTGTCTACCTGAGGAATTCTTCATTCAGCTGAGGACTAAAACCTGAGGCTCATCAAGTAACTGAGACTAATACCCTGCAGGCAAAAGCTATAGGATAACTGAATCTTCACTTGGCCTGCAAATCTGCCCAGAAAAGTAAGACTTGACATTGGTGTTTAACGTGGGCCCTCCCACAGTCATCTAGACCCAGTAGAGGGAGCCACAATCAGCAGAACACCAGAACCCACGGGGAAAATTTGGCAGGCTCCAAAACCCACTGAGACAGCCAAAATGGTGAAATGAAGAAATAAACCTCAAATGAAAGAACAAGATACTTCTACAAAAGAAGGGATAAATGAAATGCAAGTAAGCAAGTTATCAAAGGTAGAGTTCAGAGTAATGATTATGAGAAAGTTCAACAGCAGGAGTAAAGAGCTCAACAGCATGAGTAAAGATATAGGAACAATGAAAATCAACCAACTTGAAATAAAAAACCCACCAAGCGGAAGTGAAGAATGACATAGCAGAAATAAAGAACACATTGGAA